GCCAATGCATTTTGGCCGACGTGGCCCAGCTTGCGATGGAGCTGCCCAAGGGTGAGTTTTTCTTTTGCCATGTTGGCATGGTGACCCTGACGTCCTTTCCTCCCAATGCTGTACAGTCCTTCCACTTGTGGGATCTCCATGATGATGTCCCTTCGGGGTGCATGCAAGAGTATCTTGCACATTTTGCCTTCAAAAAGGACAGCCAAGCCCGCAGATGCGATGTGATTGGTGGATATCAGTGTGAACGCCATGCCGGGGGCGTATAGCATGTCCCTCAAGGTCACACTGGTTCTCTTTGACCCCAACAGTAAGTCAATTTTCACATCCCCGCGACCTGTAGTGCTAACAGTTGAACTGTTCGCAGTATACACTTTTTGTGGGGCTATTTTGACAAAGGTCTGGAATTTCGACCTGTCTGGACAAAAATGGGACATTGCACCAAAGTCAACTATAGCTCCACGGCGTGCAGCAGGTAAGTCCATGGCTTTGGCAATGCTCACTAGGTCTGACATTGCAAATGCATAGTTGTCTTGAGCCTCAGAGTCTTTTGCCACATTGGCACTCTGCTTCTGGGTGCATCCTCCTCTTCTTGCCTTTTGCTTTGGTCCTTGACCCTCCTTACCTCCCCCTTTCCTCCAGCACTCACTCTTGTAGTGACCCTTATGGTCACAATTTTGGCAGAGTGTGTCTGGGTTGTAGTGGGGCGCAGCACCATCTGCACTTTTGGTCTTTGCGTTGTTGGCATGTGCCAAAAGGGCAGAGTTAGTGCCTCGTTTGGACAGGTGTCTGTTGGTAAGCAAACGATGCTTGTATTCCTCGGTGATGACATTGACAAGTTCATAGGTACTTAGGACCTTTTGGGTGATTTTGGCCGCGGCATTGATCAACGACAGGATGGGATGGTACGATTCTGGGAGCAACCCCAATATTATAGTGTAGAAGTCTTTTTCCTTGATTGAGGCGCCCATTCCTGCGAGGGACTTGCAGATGCGCAACATCTCACTGAAATGTGCATGTACATCGCTGTTTTCTTCGCATCACATCTCCTGGAGTCAACGATGGAGGTTGATTTGTACTAACTCTGTTTTGCCTTCATGTATTTGACAGACCTCCTTCCAGACTTCGGATGCAGCCTTGAGCTTCTGGATGCAGAGCAGCAGGCGATCTGTTATGGTACTGAAGACTTGCTGTTTTACCAGCGAGTTTTGCTGATAGTACTCATCCAATTTCTTATCTAGGTCGTTGATCTTGGTCTGAGTAGGAATGGTGCCATCCTTCTTCGTTATGGCCCCAGTCTTGGGATCGACTAGGAACGGTATAGGTTGTACTGCCCAGTCATCCACATAACACATCAAACCTCTTGCTCCGATGGCTGTTAAGGTATGTTCTTTGTATGTTATCCAATTTGTGCTGTCTTCAGCTAACTTGGGAACATTGAATAGGCTTGAACTCATAGCAGGGAGCATTGTGTCCATGGCCGGGGCAGGGCTCATAACCTATTGTGAGTATAGTGGGGTGCACACGCAAAGCTAGACACAAAGGTAAGAATCTCAGTATTCAGTTCACAAATCTCTATTGACATATGTTTTTACCTAGACACAAAGGTAAGACTACATGTACGTCAGTACTTGTACTAACATCGAACTAGGACTTTTACTCACATCTCAGTATTCAGTTCACGAATCTGAGATGTCATGATGACAGCTGGCTCCTTTTATATGGTGAGTGCACCAGCAGGAGTTTTGATGAAAGCATATACTAAAAGAACGAAAAAGATTGCCAACATTGACACGTCATCTGGATTCTCTGTTTGATGGTGCTCGCACCTCAAGCTGCCTCATTCATTGACCGTACTCCCATTTTCCTTTTTGGCTCTTCCTCTCTTGGCCTTAGTGTCCTCGGCTCCATCAGCTCTCAACACTGACACCCAAATCATTGGTAGGCACCAGCCTCAACTAGCGACACTACAACATGGTAAGTGCTCATATGTGATGAATATTTGAATAGGAATGCAGGGCCAATGCCTCAGACTGTTGTAGACACTAGAGTCTCAACAAGATTGACTGTCATCAGGAGTGTTGATATATCTCGAGTGCTATAATGAATTCAGTTAGAAGCACTGGCTACTTTCATGCTGTCCAGAGTTGAAAAACTGTGTGGATTGGGAAGGAAGAGGATAAACAGATTTCGTGTTAGGCATCAGATCATCACGATAACCAGGAGAACTCGCTGTACTGCAGCATACCGGTGTAGGACTGGAAGTCCTTGTAGCCTCGTAGAGGCTATTTTTGCAGTATCCCTCAGCATCCTATTGCTTTACTATGTGAAGCGCAGCTTTCCTGCGACCCACGCGCATCGGCCACTACTTTCCCGCATCGGCCACTACTTTCCCGCGATGGCCACAGTGTTCCCGCACGTGCGCACAGCCGCGCTTTCTCATGCTTCATATCAACCAATGTTTCACACCATCTGTCCATGTCCAACCAATCCAATGGTACATTATTCTATGATTATATTTACATATCAGACCATTTCCGCATCGCACCACCCTTATTTTACATATAGCTTTACATACTTTACTTAGTAGCATGTCGGCTTGGCAGTGTGTTGGCTCAGCTTTGCATGACAGCGCTTAGCGCAATACTTAAGTGACAGTAGTACATATTTTTTGGTAGCTTGTTTTCCAGACATTCCAGTAGCAACTCCCTTTAGCCTACAGTTGGTAGCTATTGGCAATCCATATCTGTTTACCATCCGCACCATGTTCATTACCATTCCACTTTATGTCTATTTCCATTATCTATCATCTCTATTATTATTTGAACCACCTGCGCTGCAGCCGCACTTTCCCATGCCTTCGGCTATCGGCCACCGCTTCGTTCCCATGCACGCACCCGCCGCTTTCCCATGCTTCACATCGGCCATTAAGCAGCACCTTCAGCGCTCATTTCTAGACCTTTGCTGCACTAGCTTCCCCTTTAGGGTCAAATGCACTTGCTCCGCAGGTATAGCAGACTAGGTGTTGGATGACCTACAACATAAACATATCGGTTTGGAGCTTATAGCACCACACTGAGTTGTAAACCTACACCGGGATGAGATTTGGAATACGACATCATCAGCACGATTGGCACAGCACCGGGCGGCACTTCATTTGACCACTAACCAATACTTACTAATTCCCATGTTCTCCTCGAACTCCAGGGACCAGTTCTACACATGCGGTCAATATAATCTCGTCCATTACCCTCTCCTTCATTTCATTTCCAAGTCTTTCTTTGTTGCACTTTCTACACCCACCAGTGGACGCAGATAGCACAATTTCGCAAGCGATCAAGGTTTCTTGAGCAAAATGCCTGTCTTCTGTCCAATGAGTTTGTATATTGCAACTTTGTGGTTAGTTTTTGAATTTCACTGTCATTCTCGAATCTCAATCGCGCACTTATATCTCCCACATCTCCGACCAACTCACTCACACTAGACCTATGTATGATGCACACCACTTGCTATCCACAGTACTTGCTCGAAAAAAGACCACAATGAATGTTATTGACGCCTACCTTCGTCTCAATACCCTTCACTGTGGCCAAAAATTGTGCATTGTCCAATAATTGTGGTACGAGGAGCTTTATCATATGTAATGACTGTTCAGCTTCTTGTGTGCTCCCACTTCTGATCCTCTTCTCCCTCTCCGTGTATTTCACGAACATTCATTGACTTCTCTGATGTCTGGATAAAACGGTGACTCGACATGTCGTTCATGATCCTAAGTAGTACCAGAAGCTGATGTAAGGTATAGTGGCAGGGATTCCTATCATATACCCCACACCTGCTTCTGGTACTTGTACAATTCACTCTATGTTCTTGAATAACCCGGGAAGGCGACATCAAATTCTGAGTCCAATCTTCTAATCAGTAGCAAGTAACACTGACGAATGAGAAGTACCCACTGCCTTCTCGTACCCATAAGGTTATAATGGCGAATTTCAGTGTTTGCCTGCCACAGAGGCTCTACTCAATCCGCTGATTGGCACATCTGTGCACCAGAGACATACATAAATGAATACAATTTTTACTAGCTCTGACCTCTCTGACATGGACCATGCGGCCTTGATCATCTTATCAAGGACACAGACGACTCTTGACAGGTACCAGCGTAAATGATGGAAATCGTGTCACATTCCAGTGGCAGGGAGTTGATTTTGTTTCCAACCTCTTTACAGACTTGCCTGTGAATGATGCCCTGCAGGAACAATCAGCACTTCAAGCAAATGGCAACCCACTACTGTGAATCATCATGCCAACCTGGCAGAATATGTAAAGAGCCATGGAGGAGGCATCTTCTGTCTGTCATGATACCATGAAGTTCCTCATCAGATTTCAGACGTGAGAATGAGTCAATTGGCATGTCCTTGTACCACTGTGTTATAGCCACTTAGTCACATACACTTTAATCAAAAGACTGTGACTGCCATGAGAACTTCGAGATTTCATCCTGCATTGCACACAGCATTACAATGCTTTGAGTTTAAAGCAGAACAAACGACTACTACCAGGGTCAAGCTCTTCACAGGAACTGGATTTCGGCACAGCATGTTAAGTGGAAGTGCATTCAATGTCCTCACACACATGAGGTGTTATGCCAGATCAGTTTTGGGCAACTTCATTCTGACCCACAACTCTTCATTGTAACAGTGCGTGCGCACTGGCCATTCCCCGAGTCCCTTTCCTCTTGAAATATGCTAATTGCAGGAAAATTATTGAGTCACTCGATTTTTCAATACACATTAATTCCAGATTACTGTACCAATGCAATCAATTCAACAATCACATGTCACACCGGCTGATGTCGGTGTCGAAAATAAGTCCTGGTCACAGGTCACAATGAGGTATGTCAGAACAACGTCACAACATGATGAACGGAGGCAAAATGTGCCTTCACTACCTCCTAATTTACCCAGATGACGTGTTTACTTCAATTACATGGAAAATACATATGATTACTTACTCTCCTTCATCATGGTGGCACCAAAATCAGTGTGAGTACAAGGTGTTTTCCTTTTTCTTCCTTTTCCCTCGCCCTAACGCCACTTGGGTATCTGGCTCGCAATCAGCGTCCTCGACGGCCCCAATATCCACTGTGCAAACTCCATGCTCTCCGCATCAGCCTTCAATATCAGTCTCCCATTCAATTTTTCAACTCCTTGAACACTTGAAACATTGCCCAGCATATCAGCAATGACAGATGCACATGGCACATCGGTGTCATTGGATGGGTCGGTACCATCGGTCTCCGCAGCCTCGCCTAAGATTTCAGTATCATTCTCGTTTTCAGTTGGGGTGCTGTCCTTCATCTCTTGGGGTGCATGACTCATGAGTTCATCCCAAAACTGTGGATCATCAACTTTGAGGCTCCTCAACTTCTCTCACACAGCGTAACTTGTCAGACTCTCATATGACAAATTAAATGTGTGAATGCAGCACATTTCAAATGCCTAACTCATTTGTCTTGAGTACATGGCCACCCAAGAGAATCATTTACTCACCTTTTTGACTATGTCAGATTTATTTACTGTCATGAAAGCATCCCATAGCCAGGTCACGCTGCGGTCTTGTAGGATGCCAATCCGCTTATCAACGACAAGGTGACTCTCTTTGCAGGCGAGTTGCTCTGACAACTCCTGTACAATGTCACTGTGATACGAACACTTCAAAGAGTGTTTGAATACATGCTGAATCCCGACATCGCATGGCTGAAACAAGCCTGTGCACCCACCAGGCATGAAGTTCAGTACAATGGTGGGGTGGTTGTTCTTCATCCATGTTTGAAACTCCTCTGACCGATGAACCAACCAGACATCAATCTGCCAGACTGACTTCTGCATCTGTGGTAAGCCTAATTCTTTCTTCCTCTGCTCAAAATATGGCGCAATGATCTCATCCACAAGGGAATGCATAGTCCCATGTGTTGACCAATACATTTTCATGTTGGAATATTCAAAACGGAACCCTGCATTCATGCAGTTCTCGTAATTGGGAGCTGATGGACTAGGGCATGATACCTTCGAATATCCTTGATAGATGGCCTGCAGAGGCAGCATGGTGCCATCATTTGCAATTGAGACCATGACCATAAATGCCCGCTTCTCGTCATTACCCACAGTTGAAACCTGCTTGGCACCTGTCTTTGCCCAGGTAAGGTTCGAACCCTGTGCATAAACCACCTGTGTCTGATCGGAGTTCACATAGAGTGCAGAAGGTATGTCTTCTTCTTTGATGGTGTATGCAAGCTGAAGAGATGCTCGCTCACACAAGTCTTCCCAGTTGGTTGGAGTTTTTTGTGCAGCCTGTGTTGTGTGCTGCTCAGACCAATGCAGGCTATTGTGCAGCCATCACCATACGAAGGTATCGGAGCACTGAAACTGGGAACCATCTTTTTCTTGGTGATCAAAAACCTTGGGTGCCAAATCAGAGATTATTGCAATCATGATAGCCTGGTGTAGGGATTCATTTCTGGCTGGGCTGGTAGAGACTGTTTTTACCTTACCTTATGTTGGCACTTTTGTAGCTTACATAATCAAGTTATCTTTTCACCAGTATCAGTATGAGTCTGAGAGATCAGCAAGTTTCTATGATATTTCCTCTCCTCTGAGCCTTGAGCCTGGACCAGAAACCCTTTAGGGTTGAATAGCAGCTAGGTTCTGCAAGACCCAACATAAAGTTCAGACTCACCATCCGAATTGTTGTACCTTCACCGGATTGTTATGAGAGTGAGGACTGCTCCATTGTCACAAAGAACTTGAGGTGTTTCATGATTGCTTTCTCAACAGCCGAGTAGTTAGTCTAGGCCGATTGTTGTGTTAGAGTGTCATAAATTGAGCTGGGAAACAGTACGCACAAAAATTCCCTTTCGTCCCCCATTTCCTAGTTCAGCCATGCGAAGTGCAGCTTCTGTCCACCTGGGTTTACCAGTGCAATCAATGCAACCCTCAACAGTCGAACATGCAAGACCTTTGAAGATTACAGGATCCTTTTTCTTAAGGTACTGAACCAGACACGACAAGCTCCACATGACTGATGGGTGCTTGATAGCATATTCAATCTGAATCCATGTGAATGGCCCGTGCCAGTTGTGATAGACTGCATCCTTCTTCTCATGTGTACGTTTACGTCCTGAGGTGCACTTCTTCTGCTTATGCTGACGTTCATGTTCCTTTGCAGCATGATTTGGTCGGGTCAACTTTGCAATAGAGGAACATGATATTTTTGGTGAACAATCCTTCATTGACGATAGGTCAAGCATTGGCCGCTATGTAACTGTTAAAATTAATCTGTGTTGTATGATCAATGTTACGTACTTTGAGATTTCTCTTAGTTCCTCCAGGGGTGCACTCATTCTGTTTAATTTCCAGATCACATATCTTCTGTCGATGTTTGCACTGCCGCTCGTTGTTTCCCCCTCGCACCTTCATCTTTTGCCTCTGTTCTTCCAGTTCATCAAATTCCCGAGCCCGCTCCCATCCCTCTTCCAACTTTGCTTCAACTACTGTGAGCTGAGCCTTCAACTTGTCTCGTGTACATGGTTTCAGAAATTTCATCAAGCCTCGTGTCTGCCCGGCCTTTTGGTCCTCAATGGCCTTATGAATTGTAGAGTGGCAGGATTCCTTGGTCTGTCCTTTCATTTTGTTAGGATTGACTGTAGCTATTGATGCTTCTGGGGGCAAAGGAGACGATTTAGGATTGCTTGATTGTGGAAAGGAATCCTTGGATGGTGTGTCAGGCTCTGTTCCGATCAAAGTGCCAAGTGGGAACTCTAACAGCATTGAGGAGATAGGTGATGGTGTTGAAGGACTTTCTGATCGGACAAGGTAAGCAGTGGTTTTGGATTGAGAGAAGGTGAATTGATATTCTTGACTGATAGACTTGAAGCTCTATCAAATAAAGACTTGAAGTCAGCAATGTTTGTTCTTGTAAGTGAGGCACACCTGCCTGGTCGAGGTGGTGACCAATGATATCCAACAGGATCTTGAGCCATCCATTCCTCACATTCGAAGCAGCAATCAAGGGATACTCCACAGGAAGAAAATGATGTGCGAGGGCATTAAAGGAAAGGAGGCCGCATGAGAAGGCATCTTTTTGGTACATGATTTCAAGTGGACGTGTAGCAAAATGATGACCAGTATGATGGTGTGTCCACCAATGCAGTATAGCAAGCATATCATTCAGAGGCTCTTGATTGAGTGAGTTGCCATAGAGGATAGAGTGAGAATTGAAGTTGACAATGACTGCCACCCAGTGGGATCTGTTGACATTTACCACAAAGCCAATGCAATGACTGAGGCCCAATGAAAGTACATGCCCCGTCTCCCGTATGCATGCAAAATGACGGCTTTCTTTGTATTCTCCTGAGGTGCATGTGTCATATCCTCTTTTCAAGAGAATGTAGAAGTATGCACTCTCGATTTTGATCTGTTGACCTCCAGGCTCGTGTCACAATCTTCTCTGAAGTAGGTCAAGCATTTGATTTTCCTGGATATCAGATAGCCACTCATCTGTACAATAGGTAGCAAGTGTTACTGTCCGCTCTGTGTTACTGAAGCCTCTGATGTTTGCAGACCACAAAACGGAGTTGAGAGCATTGTAGACCTTGTCAATTAAGGTCTGTGTTCCTTCTTTCTCTTGGTCTTTCCACAGCCAATCTCTTCTCTCCAGGTTCTCTCTGGCTTGGATCCATGGCTCTAGATACTTGGTTCGAAGTGTCATGACCTCACACCAGTAAGTCAGAACCCAGCACGGAAGCTTTGTCCCCAAGTCCTCTGCAAAATGGGCACATTGAAGTGACCGTGCTCCATTGTCCAACAAGGAGACGCTCAGTTCAGCAAGGTCTTGCAGTGTTTCTGAGGAAGGAACAGGTAAATCTTGTAAGAGAGTGATGTCCAAGAGCGATGGCTGATCCATAGAAAAGAAGACCGTGGCGGGGATATCGTTTTTAGTTGCAACAACCACAGGGATTTTGAAGGCCAGCAAATCAAGCACAGAGAGTTTTTCGTGGGGTAGAAGCAGGGAAAAAGCTTCCTTAGGAGGCTCTAGGAGTGGGTGAAGGTATCGCAAATTTTTGGTGTTGTTCATCTTGAATCTTGATGGGCTTAGTAGTAGCAGGTTGATCAGTAGTCGAAGATCAAATAATTTCATATCATCTGATTTTGCCTTTTTTGGCTGATTCCTGGGAGTAGCGAAAAATATTGGTGTTGTCACAAGTCACAGACCCTGGTGTTGAACTGTCGAATTGGTGTACAAGGTCACAGTCACAGTAGGCCGTCGAATTGATTGCATTGGTACAGTACTTTGATCAGCTAAGACGCGACCTCGGCTGAGGCTCGGCGACTTTTATTGACTTCCTTATTTGTCAGACGCACGTGAAGATTTTGGTCAGCGCCATTATGTAATACTTGTGCAAACTGCTGTATGTAATCGAAAGACTCAACAGGGAAAGGAAGAAAGAAGGCATTGTCGCCCTTCTCGAACAGGGCATTATCATAAAAGCTCGTTCTTACATGCCTGCCTCGTACTTAGTCAACCCCCATAGTTCTGCCCAGCTTACGAAATTATAAGCAGCCCAGATCAGTGGCACATGCAGGATCGTGTGCGTCCAAGTCTCCATTTCTAGCACACGTTTCGTTAGCTGTGGAACCGAGCAGTCAAAAACAATGGCCCATCATGCTGAAGCGCCAAAGTCCGACCCATCAGCACGTTCCCATATCTCGTGTTTATCGCCGCCATCATGTGGGCACTTACCTCCAATCATTTGATAATATCCCGCCATGAGAGTGTCTGGTAGTCTATAAGTACCTGAAGTTAATCGACCGTCGCTGATGTGACTTCACTTAGATCTCCCTACCGGCGTGCACTGGCATGTTTGTGAGAACGCTCGTTCGAGGTGGCCTTGCGCTGGTACTAGCAGCTAGCTGCGGCGTATCCATAAGTCTTGTCGTCTCTGTTGTCGAGGACAATCAGACTACTACGGAAGCAGAGCACGTCGAGATTCAATCCAAGGCTCACAATGCAACTGGCATTCGTTATGTCAAGAACTCAGGAATCTGTGAAACAACTCCGAACGTTACCCAAATCTCTGGTTACATTGACGTTGGAACAAACATGTCCATGGTATATCTCTGGTCCCTATGCTCCAGATGTAAGCTGACTCAAGACACAGTGGTTCTGGTTCTTTGAGTCTAGAAACTCACCGGAAACAGCCCCATTCACTCTATGGTAGGTTGCCGAGAAGCTGGGTCGCGCAAGTACCTGAGTCGAGTTGCACCTCTGAACTGCTTTCGCAGGTTGAATGGCGGCCCTGGATGTTCTTCTATGATCGGATTATTTCAAGGTCATTTGGTTTAATTGCCCTTTGATTTACTTCTAAATTTCCACAGAAAATGGGCCATGCTTGGTGAATGCCGACCGTGATTCCACCACTCTTAACCCCTACAGGTATGTCAAAATCATGGTCATTTTTATACACTAATCCAACATGGATTTCAACTTCCTACTACAGCTGGAACAATCTTAGCAACAGTATGTAGCACGTAATCCTCTGATTTCGTTGCCAGAGCCGACTTCCTCATCCAGTGATCTACATCGACCAGCCAATCGGAACAGGGTTTTCTTACGGTACTGATACGGTAAACAGCACAGAGGCCGCTGCGCCCTTTGTATGGACTGCATTTCAGGTTTTGTTTGAAAGCCAGCTATTTTCGAAGTATGCCAGTCGAGAGTCAGTCGCTTAACTCAGCTATCACGGACGATTACTTATGCCAGACTTAGGTTCATATTTGCCACAGAGAGCTATGGTGGTCACTACGGACCCAGCTTTGTGACCTACTTCGATGAGCAAAACGCCTTGATCGCTAGCGGGGAGATTGATGCTGTTCCAATTGTTGTCAGCGCCCTGGTGATTAACAAGCAAGTCGCTTTCTTGACTTACTGATACCCTGTTGAATGAGAGTTCACCAGTGGCTGGTATGATCCGCTCATTCAGTACATCGCATACCTAGACTTTGCGACTTATGCCCCTGGCTATGGACAGCTCCAGCCAGATGACGTTCTCAAGAACATTTCGGATTCCCTATACGGTCCTGATGGTTGCGTAGCGCAGGAGAATGCCTGCTACGCTGCTGGAACTTCCACAAACTCAAACAAGATCTGCCGGGACGCCGACAATTACTGCGTGAGTAACATATCAATACTACATGTATGGAGGTCACCAAACCCTTCCAGGACGACAATGTCTTCACCCCTGCTGCGGGCGATTACGACAGCTATGATATCCGTCAAAATTCATCTGGTTTATTTCCTCCCGAATACTATGTGCATTATCTACACAAAGAGGATGTCATGAAGAAGATCGGTGCTCAGGTCAAATACGAGGAATGCTCAGACGCACCCTATGAGAAGTTTGTAAAGACAGGCGACGTATGTGTTTGTCTGAATTCTTTCGTTGAGTGCTCAATCTAACCTTCTCTGAAAGGGCGCTAGAACATGGCTACTACAGCTATCGGCTCTGGTCAACTCTAGGATGAAAATTTTAATTTGGGTGCGTGCTTAGTGACTGCTTCATTGTCTGCTAATTTATCAGGGATGAACAGGCTGGAGATACTGATTTGGTGTCCGTTTTCGTGTTGTAATGACTTTTCATATGATCCTGACGCTTCTCGTTGACTGTAGTTGCAACTGGCTTGGGGTAGGCCGTCCCATATTTTGCTGCCAACGTCGCTGAATTATTCTTGCTAATAGGGCCACGCGTCAGTTCTAGCGATGGATTGGTACGGCAACGAGACGCTCCACAATACCCCACTCACCAATATGACGATCGACGGCAAACCTGTTGCGGCTGTGCAGAACGTCGACAACTTCTCTTTTGCGTGAGTCATTTTTCATCTCAGCTTGTGAACGAGATATACCTCATCGTTTTACGTTTTAGACGAGTGTATGGTGCTGGACACGAAGTGGTCAGTCAACTCTCTTGAGGGTGATGATATCTGCTGATGCCTGTTATGTCATTGGTAGGCTGCCTTCCAGCCCCAAGCAGCTTTGGAGATTTTCTCGCAGGTTGTTCGCAAGGAGCAACTTCACTCCGTCTGAGGGGTAAATTTGGGAGAACACATCGTAATCTGGTTGGACGTTTGTGACGTGTTTGAACAGTGGAAAACGTTCTTTCTGACACCTTTGATCAAGCGGAGCCAAAATTCGAAATCCACATATCTCATGTAGCGAACTCTTTTATGTATATGGACATGACGTGGTGTATACATATGTTGCATCATCTTGCGTGACAGAATTCATACTGCCAGGAGCACATACCACTGTACCTTGATCGTACTCCGAATGACCACAGTAAGCTTAAAATCTAATGGGCTGAAGACCGAAACAAACGGAAAATTCAAACGTCTTGCTATAGCACCAACTGGTGGAATAACTGTTTCCTTCTACAAAGCCATGTAAATGCACACGCCCATAGAGTATGCGCACAATAAACACATCGCTTTCATGTTACTCACGAACATAGTCTGGATATTGAGATTGATCAAACCGGTAGCCACATTTGACTGAGGACAGACCGAGTATGTGGATCGAAACATAACCTGATGGAGAGGGATTAAGGTACACATCCTACAAGAGTAATGAGTTATATCCAGTAAGGACAGCAAGCCCTCTTTGTTCGCAAAAATAATGTTGCTCCGTGAAGCGTTGAGTAAAAAGTCCTTCATTCCTCCAGATGTGACAGTGCGAGTTGATGCACTATTAAACAGGTATCCGATCCAAGTTTCTTACAACGACCGGACTATTACTTACGAAATCCAATCCAAAGACCCAGCAGAGCAACGGGATACGCAAGATGATAGGATGCAACAAGACCTCGATGATAGGCAAAAGCGCAAGCGTGAGGAAGAAGTTCCAGTGTACACCGTACTCTGTCACATGTTCCTGGTTGTAGCTGTTAAACGGTGGGTGTGACACGAAACCGGAAAGACCCTACAGTGCCTTTCGTGAGCACGACACGGAGAATGCCTAACACAATGATGGGTATCATGTTACGGGAGACGGACTTCAGTTTAGGAAGGATCGGAGCCTGGAGGTAGGACATGTCTTTGATGATTGGAATCACAGACACCACGCCTTGAGAGAACACAAAGGAGCCAACGCCGATATCCATCTATGAACCAAATTGTGTGAAAGTTGAAGAACATGATATGTTTTGGACGCACTAGAGAAACACCATACGTCTCACACTTTTCTAGAATAGAGGGAAACACTGGAAAATCAACAACGAGTATACACAGAATTGTCATTAACATCATGTGAGCACGGGTAGTCAGCAGGTAAGGATCTGAGGGATTGAGGTGAGTGCGTCGGTGCAGTGTCTGCTCGACTTCTTCCATTTGGCAAAGCTAGTTCATCCCAATTTTCAGCCGGCGAAGGCGTGCCTCTTTCAATAGGAGGTAGAAAGAACAAAACAAACATCGGTACGAGTAGTAGAAGAGACAGTGCGCCAGGAGCTTCCGCGAATAAAGTCATAGATAATAAAAGAGTCATGGCAAGTACCATAAACTCTGCCAAGAAATATGGATCCAAATGCTTGAACACGCGAACGCAGTGCTGAATGAAGGGCGAATCGCGATCGAGGACTGAAGGTGGTCAGCTTGCTGAAGTGAAAAGACATGTAGGGATACACACCAATGCAACGCCGCTCATCATATTTACATGGAATACCGTCGAGCCAGTACTGATGCCAGAAACAAAATTCTTCAAGTTCGAGGCCTTGTAGTCAATCATGATCGTGATGTGCCAAAATACCGTAGTCAGTTGTTAATTGTGGTCTGCAACACCATTGGCATATTCCCGACTCCCACGATAGTAGCGTAGGAGAAGTTTGTGGCCGAACAGCTCACCACTTGGGTCCCTGCCAGCCGTCCTATAAAACGCGACTGAGTACTGAAAGTCTGAACCTAGTAGCGCTAGGCTGCCAGGCGCAAAATTGGTAAGCGCCAGCAATGGTCATCACCCAGCGCAAACTCAGCGTGTATATTATGTCAGACTAGTTGCTTCACATCGCGACCGTCATCCTTGGGACATTCCCGCCCTTCAACGTATTCATCACATACCATACAGTAAACATGGTCAGAGGACGCAAGAGAGATTTGACCGCTGCCCCTACACGACAGCTTACACAGCAACGCGATTACCGCGCGCGCAAAGCCCGATATCTTACCGAACTCGAACAACGATGTCTAAAAGCCGAAGATGAGAATGTGCGATTACGACGAGAGCTAGAACTAGCTCGAGCTGCCATACCCTTTGGCTCGCCACAGGAAGTTGTATGTTACACTCCAGTTCTTCGACGAAACAGTGAACCCATCATAGATTCTTCATCTAGGTACAAGTATCATCCGAGCTACTGCGCGACCTACTCAACGCCTCTGCATCGATCGCACGCTTCCAACAGATCACTGCACCTCGTGCGCCGGTCCCTCTCGATGTCAATTCCTTCCATCATCGGCAACCATCAATATCATCATATTCACAACCACCCGCAGGTCCCAGCAACCTTCGTCATTCCGAGTCATCTTCCCCTCGTCAAGCATCCTCACAGCCAATAACAATTCTGCCCTCGCATGTTCTTGCTCTTCAAGAATTCCGAGCTCACCCGTCACCTCCAAATCGGATACTGTCTCCTATCGATGAACGACGGATGGATCGAACTCCTGCGTCCTCGTCGACCAGTTCACAAGCCAGAGAAACGAGCCCATCGCCAAGCCTTGGTTCTGAGGAGTGCTGCGGGGGGTATATTGATTGCACTCAACTAATAGAAGAAGATGAGGGAGAAGATGAAGAGGGAGAAGGAGAAGGAGATGAAGATGAAGATTTTGGAATTTATCATCTCACGCATACATCGAAACTTCGTTTCAGTCAAGGCGACTTTCGAAAAGATGCTGAACGCTAAACCCTTGGAACAGCAGTCAGAAATTTGTATGGTGTAGTTGCTCTACGTCACTGCTGCATTGAATCTGTCCCTGCAAGTTACAATATTCAACAACCCTACATTTCTACATGCAGTGGCGGTTGTTTTCTAATTATAATAATATCTCATGGCCGGCTTTGCGGGCTTATCCTTATCATGACAATGTTGGCGTACGAGGTGGTTCCGCTGGAGGATTTCTCCAAAGAGTTTGGGTCCACAACAGGTCAGTTGTCAAAAACTATATTCTCTTCTTCAACTGAGCTGGCTTTCGACAGAATTATCGAGTGTATCCATAGGAGGACAGGTGGTGAATGTTTCTGATGAATTCTTTGCTGAGGCATATCAACTGCTCCTAGTCGAGGTTAGAACTGCACTCCGTTACGACGCCTTGATTCAATACAGAAGTTTACAGCCGCCCGTAAGCCTTGCTAAGCAGTATGGACCGAACGGGGAGCTTTATAGCGGATGGGAAACGCGGCGACACAACCCAACTTATGACTGGTGGGTACTTCTTTGCCACCAATGTAGCTCGCAAGAAGACATTCTGCATAGGTGTACTATCAAACTGGGAACGACAGGGATAATAACTGGTTTTGACATTGACACGACTCACTTTAGTGGTGTGCCCTGGTTTTCGCTCGATATAAGACCAGAATTTGACAGTGTCGCTGCGTAGGCAATGAAGCACCAGAGGCTTCTGTTGACGCTGCACACGAATTTCCAAACGAAGAAACAATGGTACGCGTGATGTTCGTGGCATCATCATGACAGTGACAAAGCTGATTGACACCCCAGTGGGAAGGCATCCTTCCTAAAGTACGCCTAGGACCATCACGCCGACAGCTTTACAAGATACCTGCGACAGGACAGGCTACATATGTCAGACTTAGAATTTATCCAGATGGAGGGATCGTAAGTGTGCGTGCTGATTTGCTTTATGTAAATGCTTCATGCTTTGCAGGCCCGCTTTCGCGTTTATGGACATATCACGCCTGTACTTCCTGCAAATCCTGTAGAACCCTTTGACCTCGCTCATATCTTCACGGGCGGCAAGGTCGTCGCTACATCCAACGACCATTTTGGGTCAAGCTCGAATCTTCTTCTTCCGGGCCGAGGTCAGTTGACATCAGAATATTGAACAATGCAGCCTTTCTCATAGACCACAGGGAAAGATATGGGAGACGGATGGGAAACCAAAAGAAGCTATACGAAAGATCACCAGGACTGGGTCACTATCAAACTGTATGTTTTACTCGCTTGTAGACTGTTAAGCGTCATTAATCAGTTTTTCAGGGGTGTTCCAGGATACTTGTCAACGGCAGTCATCGATACCATTCATTTCAAAGGCAACTTTCCAGAGAGTTGTGATATTCGGGGCATAAACAGTCAAGACATCGCGCCAGATGCAAATAGTGACGACTGGAAGATAATTTTATCGCCCGTTAAATTAGGCCCCCACCGCATGCATTTCTTTCGGTTGAGCAGCCCATGCGAGCAGTACACACATATCAAAGTATCAATTTACCCTGACGGTGGCATCAAGCGAATCAGAATCATAGGCACGATGGCGGCAAAGTATGGGGCAGACGTGGCAGAAATAACAACACGGGCAGACGGAAAACATCAGACCACTCCGATTGTTGTCGAGGAGGGTTGGGAGGTTATTGAAGATTGAATATCCAAACCAGCTACAAGTCGACTACGCAACGGAACTATAATGATAACCTTTTGACAACCTCCTTTCCCCTAGATAAACCATGATGAAATATGCATCCGCGCTCATATAGCAGGTAGTCGACATAGAATTTGATACCGCTTTCGACAACCCGACGAGGGATCAGCAGTGGTGATAAGCAATGTAGGACACAAGGAAAGAATTGTTCAAACTGGAGGCGATGAATGTGATGTACAGGTGTTTCAGAACTTTATACAAATAAGTAGTATGGCATACAGGAAACTTACATACAACACAGATGTCATAAAAATGGTATGCTACAAGATTAGTATGGATGGAGGAACCTGTGAACGCGGCGGTCTGCAGAAAGGTGTAGGCTACATCGGAGTGATTTCGTACGGGTGCCGAACAAGTTCGTCATATAGATCTACAGGGAGATCGCGAACGAGGGTTACTGCAATGCCTATGACTGGAACTGCCTCGAGGGGTGGGAATGTTCGCAGTAAGCGCATGGGACTAGAATCAATATAAGCATGGAGTGCGCAACTACAGAATTACTGATAAACCTTGCTGATACCATTACTTCATCTCGCATGAGAAGCAGCTGGGCAATGACACATAGGACATTGAGATGTACGCCAAATGCAAGGAGGAAATCCCATAGTTGGAGCACTTGGTCAAGAGGTGGCGTGCATGCGCAGAGTGTCAGAACAGCTATAAAGCAATTATCGTTAACGAATCGAATGCTTATGTGTGAGGCACATACACGGAAACGCATAAATCTCAGCCGAAAGGTTCTTCATTCGCAAATACGCAAACAGTTCGGGGTCCACTATCTTCAAACATCTGTCAAGTAGCTATAGGAATTTTAGCAAGACGCCGAGGAAACCACAAAAAACGTTACCTTGAGACCACGGTGTACTCCTTCTAGCGTGGGTTGAACATATAGTGGGCAGCACTCCTCGATGAACTTGGCGAAGCAGAAGAAAGCTTCCAGTTCTGAAGGCATGGTGTACAGAAATGGCGCAGCCAGTACATTCATCCCCTGGACGTATGTAAATCCGAGTTGCTGAGTTTCTTGCCTGTCTACAAGGGCCGATTATTCTTTCGTTGCCTCACGTTGAAGCAATAGTTCTCACCATGACTGCGCCACACAAAAGCATCCAACAGACGGACGAGCATATCTTCTCGTACTCGTTCCTTAAAACCTCGATCTGTAGCTAGAGTCCTACGAGAAGTATTGGCACAACAATTAGTATCAGGCGCCTGTGACGTACCTGAATGTATCATTCCTTATTTTCTCTCGAACCTCACAAGGGCCACGAGCAACATATTCTAGAAATATGCACGCTGAAACGTCATCTACACGCAGTAGAATTTTCCATATCCGAGGCCGGAGGGTAGGGTCCTATTAATGAGATCATTTCGCATAGCTCAAATTCGAGAATCTTGGAAACATACAATCTCTGAAGGTATGCCCTCGACCAGGATCATCCGCCGCAATTTCTTTGTTCCTTCATCGATATCACCAGAACGTTTTGATTTTGATGACCTGGACTGATTGAGGATCTTATTGAATGAATGTGCAGTCGCTGCCGATGATTGTGGCGAAGAGGAGGCCATGTTGATGTTTGTTTACCTCAGTTCACGTGCTCATCCCTATGTCGCGACTGTCACACAAGCGCCCACTGACACGCTTAACCTCCGCGCCCATCTTCAAGCTCTGTTCTCAGATGGACGTGACATTCATCAACTCTGGTGCTCTAAGCCGCGCTCACTACTCTTTGGTGCGCAAAGTGGAGTCTGCGCAGTCCCCGCAAGCAGCAGATCAGATCCACCTAAACGAAATTGATGGCATTAGACGTCACTTCGCTGTTGGAGGCGTATCTCTCGTGCGTAAGCAGCGGCATCTTTGACATACATTTGAGTAGACGTGACGTACAGAAAGAATGCAGGGAGAAGCTGATCATACTTCTTTACTGTTCCATGAATTTAACACACGTTAATCCTGGCGAGCTCGCCTTTGCTTTGCCACAAGCTGTCAATCTGGCCGAGATGGGGCGGACACTGCGCGACAAGCAACTCGGTATGGTGATTATCATTCTTGGATCCTGAATCTACCTTGTTAATAAACAAATAGGCTTTATCTTTTGCACTGAAGTTATGCCACCGAATCATGAGTTGCAACTCATGTTAGTCAATACCATTCGCAAGGTCAGTGCATTCGTGATTATTCAAATATTAGTCTGACTTCTTTCAAAGGATCTAGAAAGCTTGTCCACAGCACGTGTTTGCCTCGCTCTCAGCGTCTTAATTCAAATGCCAAATGATGAAGTGATACCCGCCGTACAATCGCAATTGCAGGCCCTGTTCATGCACAAATCGTCAGTTCAAAACATTTGTGATCGCTGGTGCATACTGACTCTGCAATAAGGATATCAGTTCGTCGTAGAGCTTATCTGGCATATCACTCGCTGCTACACAATGACTCTTCGCGCTTGACACCGCTAGAGGATGCAGTTGTCCTCCGCATTCAACGTACACTGCCTTCTATAGACTCTTGCGCTATGGCAATAGCCATGAAAGTGCGTGTATCTTGATGGGGTGCAAATGGAAATGACATTGTACATTTAGCTCAATCAAGTTGATTCCATCAATGATGAAGTCAACGCTCTTCTGCCAATTGTGTGGCAAAGACCCGGTCGTCAGTCTCAATCTCTTACTTTATTGGTCCTTCGAGCCCTTCGGAAGGCTAAGTACGTGTAACTCGCCCAACTTCAATTTGACATCTAACGGATGAGCAGGTTATCGATGCCAAATGTTGGTATTGTTCTCGACATTATCAAGCATACATCCAGCCCCCCCGTGCGAGGTAACTTGAGTAGTTGCGCTGCAAGACTTTGGCTGAATCTACCTAATAGTGCTACTGCGGGAGGCTTTTCTTGTCTTATCATCCGTATCAACAGAGGTCGTCCAAGAATGCCAAATGCAGCAGTCTCTGTCGCCAGTGGCTTGCATTCGACGCCTATTAACGTCAAAGGATCCTAACGATCGGTACCTGTTTGTTTCCTGTTTAGATTGCTTGAGCCCCACTCTTTGGGCAGGGACCCTGCCAGGAACAATAGCAGTCTTAGACGAGTGGGAGGTTCAAGAGGTGATGAAACTTCTTGATTCACATGACAGGCTTGTTCGAAAGATAGTGAGCACCGACAACTTATGACCAGTGGGGCTGCGATACTGATATAGAACGCTCCCAGACCCTGAGGGTCCTACACGCGGTCGATTCTTCCCTTGTCAAGGCATATAACACGCAGTTGCTACATAACTTGCCTGCAGGATTGACTTTATCTGACAAGGGCGAATATGTTTCTCGTCTGCTTGATGTTGGCGTGCTTCAGTATGGGAATGATGGGGAACAGTATGCTAGATACCTCAAGGACCTCTTTGGCGTTGCAGAAGGTGACACTCAAGGTCGTACAGAGGACATGTCTGTCCTTGAAGTCGGCCTTGAGATGATCCTTACCCACATCCGGGAATGTATGTGCAATTCTTTCGTTACTGATTTTACGCTGACTGCCTCAGTTGATACTACATCTCGTATATCGTGCGTTACCGCACTGGCAGTTCCTGTCACGGAGTCAGGTGCTCGGATCGGACCAACTCTCATGGTGGTTATTTCTGCTTTGGCTTGTGAATACTGCGGAAAGATAGCAACGTCACCCCTATCACTACTCCAGGGAATGGCTAGCAGACTTGTCTCATATGGTGGTGCGTACAAGATACCTTGAACCAGTGGAATGAAAACTCAGGAAGTAGCAGTCACAGTTCAAGATGCATGTCTGCTATCTATGATTCGGATGTCTGCAGAGTGTGACCAGATCCCGCACACTATCTTGAAGCTTGTTACCGAAATATCCCAGTTCTCCGGAAAACGTATTCGGAATGTGAGTTCCGTCGCCGTCTGGAAAGTTCGAAATGACATGCCCATCAGCGGTGTGACCTGTTCTTGACATACTGTGGTCAAAGGGATGTGCTTACCAGTATCATCGCTCAAGCATCCTCATCTTCAGTAAGGCGGCGGTCATTCCCTTCCCTCTATTGAGAACCAACCCAGATTAGCTTCCAGACTTTTTGGTTGCTCTAACAACTTATGGATCAAATGCCGGCGCCTCACCGCCTGTACCGCCTGTTGATCTAAGGCCTTCATCAACAATTTCCGGACTTTCGCCGGGTTCGCCTCCACGAGCTAGCTTATCTCCCAGACAGTTACGTTACGAAGCATATGGCACTCCCCAGGCTGTGCCTAGTCTAAGGCATCTATTAAGCCCGAGCAGAGGCACCTTCTCAAGTCCGGGAAGCACTACTAGCAGGACACGAAGTTCCTCACGTGCGAGTGAACGTCGGATGTCATCCGAACTTGTAAGGACCATCACCCCAGGAGAGTTGACTATTGCTGCCGCGCAGGGTCCATTGCAAGAGCTGCCCGAGGTGAGAATTTCCTGAGTGCATACACAACCTTACGTCTCACTATAATCAGCTTGACCACGTTCGAAATTCGAACACGTCACCGAATGAAGATTTAGTACGTCTCCTGAGCAATTTGAACGTATTCGTCATAGCGGCTAACTTGAATGTAATCGTACTATCAGACATCTCGTGTTGATCTCATATCGCTCGATACTGCCTGCAACGAAGCGCCTGTTACATTTCCGACTCCTGAGCCAGACTTCGAAGACGTCTGGGATGCCATGGAAAACTCCAATCTCCGAGGCTGGTGCGAGTCGCCGATGGACAACGTAGTGAGACTTCTACAGAGTTTACAGCACTCCATGAGAGTCATCGCGGTTGATCAGCCACCATTTGAAGGTATGTCTACTATCCCCAAACCGGTCTGCAAGATAGAACCATGCTGAGATCTATGTCTGTTCCGGCCCTTCTGATAGGGGAGCTAAAAGTCTTGGTTGCTGCCTCACCTAATCCACCCTTAGTGGAGCCGAAACAAGGTGCCGCCCTTCGCCTCCGGGAAAGTGAAGAAGAAAGCTGCCTGTGGCGCCTCCGGTGCGATGATCCTGAGCTACGAACCACTATCAAGAGACTCTTGGAGGATATATAAGATGCCCTGCTGTTTGTATGCAGGCAGTCGGATTGCTATTGGCTCATCAGCTATGTTTGTTACGGTGAGAAATAAATTTCTGAAGTCGTGAATACAAGACTAGATCATCATCAAGTGATGAGCCATTTTAGGCGTGTCTATTGAGCACACCCGGAACAAAGCCGGAACAAGATTCGTGATGCTCGGAAAACTTGACATCGTGCGAGTCGGCAAATGGTCTATTGATATACCGATATTTCGATTAGGTCGTTCAGTCAGCCTCTGGCCGTGGGAAAACTGTGGTTTATAACTCGGAAAATTTGACTAGCAAGTCTTCCCTCCAGCCGTAGACCAAGAATCACTTGGGATCGCTTTTCGTACCAATCTATGATTTTTTATTCACCCTCGAAGTACGTTTTCCACGTTCTAGCATGTTCGTTGCTGACTGTCTAATGTTCATAACTCGCAGCACTCCACGCCTGGCTCACACCATCATCCTCCTCGGACCTCTTGCAGTTTGCCTTGTTGACACAGACCGTCCTCCTTAAACTTAGGGCTAGTCAAAAATTTGACTTAACTCTCTCTTCCTCATTCCTGTTAGCTGATGGGATAAGTTTATTGTGATCCTCGCAACAGACACCTGCTCTGGAACCGCAACACTCTGCACATAGAACGAAGGTCAAACACGAGAGAACACTTCACGATACTTATTATTTAAACACCCTACCGTTATACTACACACAATGATCTCATTCAAGCATCCAAACCTCTTCCGCCCCAATAGTCGTCCCACATCACCAAATTCCTCGTCCCGTCCCGAACCCGCCATGATCCTGGAGAGGACATCCCGACCTCTCACCAAGCTCTCTTTCAGTGGCTTCAAACGATCGTCATCTTCGACATCTATCTCCTCCCCCCCTCCAACTCTGCTTGTACAAGACGGATCTTACCTACAGGCCCTCAGTCTCAAGTTTAGTGAGGCGGTTTCAAAGGCAATGATGCAGCCCACTGGTCCAGTGGCTGTTGGCGAGTTGGTTGGAGGCAGACGTCCAATTCCTGCTGGTCGTGGGCGAGCTCTCGGACTTTTAATTGCCTCGTGTGTATCTTATTTTCATTCTGGGGACCATTTTTGATTAAACTGCTATAACCCAGTGAGCTCAAGGCATGTCAAAACAATCCACACTTGCACAAGGCTATCCTTCGTTCACTTCACAGGCCATTATCTGTTCTACTCAGTAACCTCTCGGCACTCCTTCTTCCCCTCCTTTCCTCGCCAGCATTCCTTTCCATGCTTGCCCCCACTGTGCAGGCTCCCAATCCCAATGCAACTCAGCTTCATGCACTTGCAGCAGCTAGCTTTGCAGGAGAGCTCCTCGAAAGCTTCGATGAAATGAGTTTGGGCTTTGAAAATGACGCGAGAGGAGACGGGTTGAAGGCGATTCGTGAAGGCCTCGTTTCCCTCATTGGGCGTGTTGTGAACCCGCTCATTACGGGCATCCAGTCTGAACTGATACCTCTCCTGGAGTCTCTGGAGAATCCTGTTGCTGTTAGCGTGCCTAGGACAGGTACCAAAGCTCTCCACCCATCAATCGTATCATTACAGGCACTCATGCCTGTGTACGCTCGTGCATTGACGCAGTACACGACAACCCTTCCTTCCCAGACGACCTTGGCGACTTTCTTGATCTCGATGATTTGGAGAGCGCTCGTTGCCTTCGCTAGTAGACCCCGAGTGAAACCTTCACCGCCAACGTCACCACTGAGTTCGCCACAGCTCACACCTTTAACCAAGAGGCAGCGTGCCACTTCTGGCAATACGCCGGCAACTCCTCCCCCTACACGGTTTGCTCTTAAACTGCCTTCACGGCCATCGTCTCCTCCCGACATCTCGGTTACTCCGTCAGCAGCTACTGACGCACGTGCGCTCTACGAGCTTATGGTTCTCCTTCCACGTCCGTCTGCAGAGTGTGATGCGACACGCGTAGCTCGCGAGGCTGTCGATGAGGCGCTTTCTGGCTTAACGGCTCTGGCCACATTGCTTGAAAACATAGGCAATCCTCTGTTCAAGGTTGGCAAATCCCATGAGGCAATCCTAGAGGAGATTGAGAGGATTACTGCTGATCTGCCAACTCTCATCGCATTGCCTGTGCTCCTACGGAGTTACTCCAGAGTCGCAATTGAGTCACCATCCATTCCGTCGATCTCCTCTATCATCAATGTCCCCGAAGATGAATATAGAAAGAGCTGCCTATCAGGTTTTGGGCGAGCAGAACAGTGTAGCAACATCATCGGGCATAGCGTGCTTGACTTCTTACGCGACCAAGGTGGCTTACAGAGCCTTGTTGAGCAGTGGTTGGCGAACCGAGTAGATGTCGTTGACCATTGACTGTATGGACCCAACGATCTTCATAGGTACTCCTATCTCTCATCTTGTGAGCTAGTATTCGTCCTTATGTATCGATCCATCACATCGTCCTCGGGTTATCATTATTTAGAATGGTTTATGTAACTTATCTAGATTGTTTGTTTTCGTTCGTTCTCACTTTCGTCAGGGTCGTCTCCTACTGAACTATAGCGTTGTTGTAGCTTACATTGCAGGATTCCCTACTCGAGAGGCGCTGCGGGTATGATAATCTCTCTTGTCGTTAAACTGGCGAATCTTTCATTTTTGATTGCTTCGACGTGCAATTCGATTATCAGGCCACAGTCATGCAACTTATATCGTTTACCGTGTTAAATGGAGCATGCTCCGATGCTCACGATGCCATGTTCATGACAGTGGTCCGTGTTCAAGTGTAATTGATGTTGTGTACTAAGTACCAAGTTCACATGGACACCAGTCGACCCTTCGTCGGTTGCCCTGTGGCGGTGGCGAACTTCTGATAAACGTAGGGCTCACACTGTATTGGGACTAGATTGGTTGACGCATGGCTTGACTTTAATATTGCTTCATCACATGAGCTAGCTAGCTTCATACTCGCAGTCTTAGGAGCGATAAACGATAAAATACAAACCAAGCAAGGGCTTTTGTTTCTACAATTAAAATTCAACTACTGCTGCATTGTCCATCAAGATCTTGTTTAGTCCATCACGACGGAGACAGTTCTCAAACTTGAAGCTCTTCGCAATTTCATCGAGCTCATCCTCGCTTTTTCCACGGAAGTGTTCTGCCCATTCCTTGACAAGATACTCGGTTACCAGTATACTGCGGGACAGGCGACCAACACGATGAGAGAGTTTCCAGACTGGAAACGGATATAGGTCTTGGTTCTCCTGCGGGATCTCTTTTGTGATATGATCGATAAGAGGTTGATATATGTGCTGGACTTGAGTGGTATCAGCACCCCAAGCGTCCACAGCAAGACGATGTTTCTTCGCCAGGAAGTCCTTCAGTAGGGCCATGTACGATGTTTCTTGCGAAACGTAGACCATGCCCTGGAATCCGATATCCTTGTATAACCAGATCGACCAGCTCAAACGATCCTGATATTGTGTTAGTAAGGAGTAAGAAACGGTCACTTTCAGTACAGATGTACCTGATTGTAGATTGCCAACTGGTCTTTGAGAACCTTGTACCGTCGTTCATTGATGGCGTCTGTAGCAAGGCCATCGTATTGCTTCCTAGCATAGACTGGGCCCCATTCGCCGTTCCAGACACAAAGTCCGTGCTGGTCCATCCATTCCCTCTTCCTCTCGTAGCTTTTCTTCATTCTCTGCCGTTGTTCGTCGGAGCTGATATAGTCCTCTGGACTAGCAGGGAATCCGTATACACTGTAGTCTGCCGTCTCTGTAAGATGAAATCATGGGACCAGTGATTCAAGAGCATACCATGGATCGAGTACGCGGTATTCTGCCACTTCTTGTGCATATCACCAAAATGTGAGAAGTCACTTGCAAATGTGTTTCCGTCGAAGAAAATGACATGCTCTGTGTCAATCGAGCGTATGGCGTCGTAAACTTGGTCGTAAAACTTTATTACAGCAGTATGCGTGGAATCAGTGGGTTCGTTAAGCGGATTATAGCCGGCAATCCACTTGTTGTCAGCATAGTGCTTAGCAAGTTCTTTCCAGAGCCAGATTGTACGGTCTTGGAAGTCTTTGTGTAACCAGAAATTTGCGATGTGCGTGCCAGCATCACAATGCCAGTCGGTGTTTTGACCGCCTGCAGCAGCGTGCAGATCGAGGATAGTATAAATGCCATGTTGAGCACAGAGGTCAATCACACGGTCAAGGTGCTTGAAACCCCCTTCTTTCAGGACGCGGGGATTCAAGTCATCTGATCGACACCGTAAGTCCGACAGATTACGAAAACTCAAGGCACGTATGTACCTTCGAAGTGCCTGTAGTTGAAAGGTAGCCGAATGCAGTTGAGTCCAAGACTCCTGAAAAACTTGGCGTCTTCCTCTTGGAAAAAGTACTCCAGAACCTTGGTTTGCCCATCAGAAGCAGGAACAACGCTGCAGATAAAGATCAACCTACCTTGTCGAAGAAAAATTCTGATTTGATAGGTCCTACGACCTCAGCAAGAGCAGCGCGGATCTGGAATTCGCAGCCTGGGTACCCAGAAATGAAGTTCTCCATGCTATCAGAGGAGAAAGATCAAGATCCGTGAATGTGTTCAGAAAGCATAACAACCCACTTCATCCACCCTCCGAGACCTGCTCCCCTGAGGACGACCTCTTTGCCACCCCCATCGACGACCTTTGTTCCAGAAACTTTCAGATAAGACATAGCGAAGGAGATGTGCAGCGCTGCATGATCTTGATTGGTATAACCTTAAGTACTGCAGCAGTGGAGCCAAGGTTGAGTTAGCGGACCGCTAGAAGAGTCCACGAGAAAGCGACTATCCATGCTCCGAGGTTTATCCGTATTCCATTGATAGCGTGATCGAACCTCAGCGTAAGCTTGGCTAAGTGGACTCGTGACTGCAGAAGCAGCGGTTCAGTGTACTTGTCGACTGACGATCACTCTCATTTGTTTCTGATCTATATCTCAACAGAACAATCCTTCTGAGTGAGGTATCAAGAGAACAAGTGGATCAGGTTTAGATAGTATGTAACAATGTGATTGACCTATTTGCGTGAGTCCGCGAGTGACAAATACATTGGGGACAAGATGAGGGTATCGTGGTATTCTGTTAGAGACAGTGAAATTGCACAATGAATAATGAACATATCGATCAGGAAATAGATACCATTATAAGTCTGTCTTTATGGATGTAAACAACAGGGTCATGATGAGTCGTGAATCGAAAGTGCTCGGACAACTTGTGTTCCTGAAGACGAAGCATGTCGTCCAGACAACCTAAATATTCTCAGCGGCCCGAGAATTTAGGTCCATTAATCTTCTTCGGCACCCTAGCGCGCGGATCCTCTTGCACCCCTGGGATCTCACCATTCTTTGCCAGGTGGTGCCAATAGAGCACATCTCCCGCCTTCAGCCGACGAACAGGCGATTCAACAGGCATTCCACTTGACTCGGGCGCAGACTCCTGATTACCTGGTTGTGACGAAGACCGCATCGGCCGCGATGTCGATGTATGAGGGGATGGGGACCGAGGTAGAGGACGTGGGGAACGCCGAGGAGAAGCTGACGCTGCGAATAAGTATGGATCGGGTGAGGATGGGTGTGGTGTGGAGCCCAGGTCCCCGTGCTCTGAGATAGGTGTGGGAATAGATTCGGAAGATGAATGGGACAAGGTAGGGGAAGGCTGGGAAGGGAATGGATGTAAAATACGCCGATAGCCAGCGGGACCATCAACAGAAGATAGCGCAGAATAAGCGGACGTCAAAGGAGGAGGGGAAATAGGTGCTGTGAATTCTAATGGAATAACCCCTGGTTCGTCAGGGATATGATATCGTTCCGATGCGAGTATTTCACTAGAATGGAAGACGAAGCGATGACCATTGGTCGCGCGATTAGTCGCCGTGATTGACGACGTACATCGAGAACACTGATAAAACATGTCAACACAATCAGAGCTTCACACAGTTCTCACACCAGGACTCTTACTGGAATCACGATCATATAGCCGACGGCTGTACCGCAAGTATGACAGCAGAGAGTCTGAGTCAGGCATTCACACGTCCGAGGGGGAGATGCATTAGTTGATGGACGGCAGGGCGGTGGGCGAAGAGCGTCCGGATTTGACGTGTATGCGGAACAATTTATTGGGAGTGCATCGGTGGAAAAAAGAGAGACGTTAGGTCTGAGCAGCAAAACAGCCTGGAAAACAGATTGTTGGGTTATCAACTGTCTCTCACATGACAAAAGAATCAAAAAATTAAGGTCTAAAATTAACTCACCTTCATACCGCGATTGGTGAGAAATGTGCCACAAGATTTACAGTCCAGTATCCACACTTTATGAGCGAGTTGAGCGGGCGGGAAAGATGGGGGCGGATAAGAATTATGCTGGACCATTGACATTGATAAATGTGTTTGCCACGACCCAGCATGGCCCTGAGGGGGTATTGCAAAGTAACTGAACATTGAGGGTGGTGGGAGTGTATTCTGAGCTTGTGCTGATATCTGCTGGCCAGCGAGCGGATAAACACGCTCAAAGTATGCAGGCTGGGAGTATGGGGGGATGAAGTTTGTGCTGTTATCGTAAAGAGCGTGGAGGTCATTGGGTGATCTCTGTCCTCTTGGAGCGGGCGAGCGCATATAATAATTGATAGTATCACGATTTGTCGCGTGTCCTGAACCCTGACCGGGGTCAACTGGCTGTGAAGTGTCTGCGAAAGCGAGAGCAGGCATTAAGATCAGGCTCGGCGACAGAAAGGATGATGAGGAAAGTGAAAGGTCAGTGCTCTAGATGGGTGGGGGAGAAAGGAGCGAAAAAAATGTGCGCCTGAGAGCAGCTACATCTTATAATCCCATTTCCAGACGAAAGAAGAATACGATGCCAACAGCTTGTCAATAAATGCCAAGTACTGTATTCCTCCTCCTCCGGATTATGTAAACATATCCCGTTCATTTCCCGGACCGCCGGCAACTATCCTTTCATCTTCCATGAACTCCAATATCGCCATTCTAACACAGTCGCATAGAGCGGTTGCAGCGAAAAAACGCGATAAACGAAATCAGATCAAGGAAATTGTATTCGATGATGATGCTCGCAGGTACGCATGCTACAGATCCGCGAATGCAGGGCTTCACACATGGTCCTCGTTAGAGAGTTTCTCACTGGATTTCACAAGCGGAAGGTGGCAAAGAAAGAGGAGGCTATAAAGAAGGCGAAGCTCAGGGAAAAGCAGGAAAGACTAGACACGCGACGTGAGGTGTGTCTGTGTCCAGTTGGTTATTTTGCCATTTCCAGAAGTTTAATCGTTTTAACTAGCATCGACGCGCCCTAGCAGAGCGAGCTGCACAGAACGCAGCGGAGGTTGAGAAGGCATACGGTGCTACAATAGGTGATTAATCACCGTGTGCGTTGTGCTGTGGATCATTAATATTTGACAGATGATTCAGATGATGAGAACGAGGGACTCGGTTCCTCGGGGAATGAAAGAGACAGAGAGGTAAACGGAGAGTATGAAGGCGAAGAACAACTTGCTACCGTGACAGTGGTCGAAGATTTCGATCCCGCCGCCTTCTTACATGGCCCATCCATGACTGGCTCCGCACCCGCTGATCGGTCGGACGTCCCTCTTCCCTCGTCCGTGAAACCAAAAGGGAAAGAGAGAGCTCAGAATGATCCTTTGAAGCCAAAGCGCAAGGCAAAGAAAAATGAGAAGACGAAGAGTGTCAGATATCAGACGAAGGCGGCACGTTTGGCGGAACGCTCCAAGCAGCAGGCGCGACGCACAGAGAAGGCAGAACGGGCCGGAGGAAAATCTTTAAGGAAGGGAAAACGCAGATGATTTCAGGTTATTCTCTTCTCAATCGTGTAATTTTCCGTTCTACGCTTTTTGTAGTATATTTCGACATGCAATATTAATGTTGATATGTCTGATATACTATGTTCGGGGAGTTGCTACTTTGAATGCCGAAACCTCCGGTATATTTCGGCTGTCCCGGCCGGACGTATCGAAGTGACCGACACGTTCAAACACTCACAAAGCTCGCCATAAACTACACCTATTCGAGGGCTCTAGAGGAGCAGCTGGCTGCACTATGAATTCCCTCTACACGCACGGCGTCCGGCAAACAAACTCGCTCACTGCCGATCTCGAGCGGCTACGGAATGGAGATAATTCAGCATCCCTCCTAGGTCTGTTGAGTTCCCTGCTAACTTTCGAGAGGAGGGGCTTCGGTAATAGGCAAGAACTCACGGACCCACCTTGTTAGGACAGATATCCGCCTCACTCGCTGCGATGCACAGAACCATTGAGGATTATGATTCGATGGCCAAGAGGGAAATAATAAAGGCGAAGCAGGAGAAAGGGCAAATGTGTGTGACACGCATTCAAGGCTTTTAATGAATCAACATATCTCTATTGTCTTTGCAGGCGTGTGCAGAAGTTCCGCTCCGACTATGCAGAACTGAAGAGTCAGTTTGAATTAATCAAAACCGAGGCATGTCCAATTATCTTGCATTCAGAATGTAGGTCTCACATGCAAGTGCAGAAAGCTGCGGCACAGCGAAGCGAACTTCTAGGTGGTACTTCAAACATGCTATCTCCTTCATCTGACACAAGACGACGGTTCACGCCAACTGCTACTGCCTTGAATGGTGGAGTGTCCCCGTCACAACACTCCGAGTCACCTTTCCGGACGCAAACACCAATATCGGGCTCAACACTTCGTGAAAGTCACGCATTACACGAGCACTCGTTTATCCAGAATACGGAGACAAGGTTGGATGAGTTCCTTGCGCAAGGGCGGGAAGTGCTGGACAATCTGGTGGATCAACGGAATGTTCTTAAGGGGACGCAGAGACGACTCTTGGATGCAGCAAATACAATGGGTCTCAGTCGAGACGTTATAGGGTGGATCGAGAGAAGAAGGTGAGTAGAACGTTCTTAACTCTAGATCGAGGTACTGAAGTTTTGTAGTACGCAGGATATGTATATCTTCTTTGGCGGGGGAGTGTTCACGTTTTTCTGTTTCTGGTTGATATGGCATTACATAGGCTAACTCAGCCTAAATAATTTGTCTGCTGGACTTGTATATATCGCCTGCATACGTACTCTTCGTTTAGTTTTGTCCAGCAATATTCACGCTGTCGTGTCAGGAGTTGCGGCACTTGCCGGGCTGACGCCGCTTCCCAGAACGCAAACCGAACGAGGTCAGAGCAAACTTGTCTCGAGAAGTACTTTTTGCTGTGATGGTGGCTTTAGCCGGTCCCAGTGAGCCATACGACTATACGGAGGGCGCGTCAGCCATCGACATTAAGGCTGCTGCTGCCAATGCACGGCGCCATTCCTCATATAGCGGGGACAGTGGACAAGGCGCCATGTTTGACGGGCCAGGACAAGAATCTATACCTACTAGCATATCGAGGATGTCCTATGCAGAGCATGGATTGGCAGGTAGACGACGAAGCAGGGAGTGGTCCAGGGGCCGGATGAAGAGTGAGGAGTCGGTTGGACGTACTAGTCGGAGAATGAGCACAGATGGTGAAGTTTCGCAGGCGACGGAGGAGGCGAGGTCTGGTAGCGAAGAAGAAGCGGGAGGAGATGATGAAGACACAAACCACAGAGGGCGTAGACGCAGAAGATCTATATCACCCACCTTCAACCGGTCCTCTGTATTCGAAAACATTGCCAACTTGTTCAGCCGTACTGGTGCAGGTGAGAGCAGGGCTCCCGAGTTTTCACGACGTTCATCTGCATCTTCGACTCGGAAATCACGACGAAGGTCCTCAGACGCAGGGTCAGAATTCGCTCTTGCAGACGAAGTGAATGAGCGATGGGGATACTCGTCCGGAGAGGAAGATAACGAGACAGAGTCCGACGGCTCGCATCCCTTAAACCCTTTCCACAGCGAAATAGACTATGGTTCATACCCTCCATCTCCAAGTGCAGGTTCACATCTCCCTCTCTTTGCCGCTGATGCCATTTTCGGCGATGAGGTGCGCATAGACATAGACATGCCTCGAGAGCCGTTAAACCCTCCACCCCCTGGACCACCAAGCAGACAAACCATATATGTACCAGAAGAGGACAACACCTTTCGGTTTGTGGGCTATGAAGTCATCATTTGGCGGCAGTGGCTCTGGCGAGTGTGTTGTGCTGCAACCTTGGGTCTCGTGGGTCTCTTGGGTCATTGGTTCCCTCGCGTATGGCTACGATGCGTTGTCGAAGAGAAGGCTTTCAGAGATATTAGGCATGGTTATGTTGTCGTCGAGGTACGCAACGCCATAAACTCGTAGTACCACCTTTGAGTCATCTGCCATCAGTCTGCACACAGAGACATCACATTGTTCCCTGTCAAGCGTCTAGCATATCCATATGCTCACTCAACGGTCTTCCCTGTCTCTCCTGCAGAAGCGGATGGACGACCACAGCCGCTATCACGCGGTGATACCGGCGAGAGACAAGAGATTCTCGATGACCTTCATATCGTCGACTATAGATATTCACGTTTTGCACTTGACATTCGGACTGGATTATTCGGCATGATAAGGTGGATTGATTACGTTGCACTTTGGTTTTTACTGAGCATCAAGCAGGGACTGGCGTGATCCAACGTGGACGGGTCTGCAGTCCATCCAGAACGGGCTTTCGCAGTTTGTTAGGCATCAACGGTTGATCTTATTTGGACCGAACATTGTCGACATCGAAGGCAAATCGACGATATCACTCCTGGTTGATGAGGTAAGTCCAATGTTCATGGACCATGGTTTCACCCAACCTTTTGGTAGATCATCCACCCATTTTACGTGTTTCAAGTGGCCAGCATCATCCTTTGGTCATTGGACGATTACTATTACTATGCGTTCTGTATTGCACTAATCTCTGCATTGAGTGTTGTGACAACCCTGATTGATACCAAGAAGGTGAGAAAACAGACCCCTGAGCATGTCACGAAAGATCCTCACTCTCTCAGACCATCAAGCGCATGCGGGAGATGTCCCGCTTTTCCTGTGACGTTATGGTTTATACAGACGGTGGCTGTATGCAGTGTTCTCGTCGTCCTTTACTCCAGCTTATGATCATGCAGGGGTTGAGCGTGACTCCACTGAGCTCGTGCCAGGAGATATAGTAAATCTATCTGAACTACGTGTATCTCTGTTCCCTGCAGACATACTTCTTCTTTCTGGCGACGCGATTGTGAACGAAAGCATGCTGACTGGCGAGAGTGTACCTGTTTCAAAGAATCCAGCGAAGGACGATGATGTCGCTCGTTGGCGAGACCTCAAGGACGCCCAGGGTGAGCTTGCCAAGAGCTTTATTCATGCAGGGACCAGAGTGGTTCGTATCCGTGGTGCTCTGGCAAGTGATGGGACCACAGGACAACCTGCCCTTGGGTTGGTTGTCAGAACAGGTAGGTCTTCTGTATTCTGCAGAGATAATGCATTCATGAATAGCAGGGTTCAACACGACCAAGGGTGCACTAGTCAGGTCCATGTTGTTCCCAAAACCAATTGGATTCAAGTTTTACCGTGATTCAATTCGTTTCATTGGTGTTCTGGCATGTATTGCCACCCTTGGTTTTTGTGTCAGCGCTGTGCAGTTTATCCGACTTGGGGTACGTTTTGTGGTGTGCTCATGCAAATCCTATTCACTTGAATGCAGATCAAATGGCCTGTCATCCTAGTTCGTGCTCTCGACTTGATAACGATTGTGGTTCCACCCGCTCTTCCGGCGACCCTCTCGATTGGCACAAATTTTGCCATTGGACGTCTCCGCAAACTTGGAATCTTCTGCATTTCGCCCACTCGTGTCAACGTTGGAGGAAAAGTCAACGTATGCTGCTTTGACAAGACAGGCACACTCACAGAAGATGGGTTAGACATTCTCGGCGTGCGCTCCCTCGACCGCAATGTACACCGTTTTGGTGAGCTTATAGACAACGTCCACGATCTACCCTCCATCCACGACCGCACGAGCTTCCTTCACGCACTCGCGACGTGCCATTCCTTGAAGATAGTAGACGGTGAAATTATTGGCGATCCACTGGACGTCAAGATGTTTGAGTTTACCAAGTGGACTCTTGAAGAGGGACTGATCGCGGGGACCGGCATTATCAAAGGAAGAAGTGGCAGCGAGCGACCAGCTGCGCTTGTCCAGACTGTTGTGCGACCGCCTGGGAGTGCCCAATTCCGCCTGGAAGATGCTCTCAAGACAGGGGCGAAGGTGCGCCCTGACATGAAGCAGTGCACAGCATTTCTGACTGTTACATTTCAGCATGCTCATTTCCTTGAACTTGGCGTGATCCGCACCTTTGAGTTCGTCTCAAGTCTACGGCGGATGAGTGTCGTGGTTAAACGGCTCAAGAGCACTGGTATGGAGATCTACGTTAAAGGGGCTCCAGAGGTGATGTTGGAAATCTGCGAGAAAGACTCTTGTTAGCTTCTAATTTTTCCCGAGATTCTGTTCACTGATTATTCTGCAGTTCCACAGGATTATGACGACCTGCTGTCCTACTATACAAGGCGTGGGTATCGTGTCATTGCAATGGCGGGCAAAAGTATTGAAAGTTTATCATGGCTGAAGGCTCAAAAGATGAAAAGGTCAGGTGCAAATTTTCATTGGCTTCATGGTTACTCAAGGTCTTTATAGGGAGCAAGCGGAATCGAATCTTCGTTTCCTCGGACTGATCATCTTTGAGAATAAGTTGAAGCCGGGGACAACTCCTGCCATCCAAACCCTCCGGGCAGCTCATCTGGCATGCAGGATGATTACTGGAGACAACCCGCTGACTGCTGTCAGCGTCGCACGAGAGTGCAGTTTGGTAAGCCAAGCTGCACATGTCTTCGCTCCTGCATTCATCCGCGGTGAGCAATCAATGTTGTCAGTTTTGTACTCATTGCGAGACCTTTTCAACTTCAGGAAATGCTAATACACCCATGTCGAAACTGGAGTGGTCCTCCATGGATGATCCCTCTTGGAAACTGGACGACTACAGTCTCAAACCTTTACCTCCACCTCCACACCTTACCGTAGCAGAACATGAAGTCGAGTATCAGGATTGTGCATTGGTCGTGACAGGTGATGTATTCAGATGGATGATCAACCACGGTCCTCTTGAAACTGTGCAGCGGGTGAGGCCATTTGGCCGAGCATCACGTTATGCAGGCTGATGTTTGTCCTCAGATGCTTGTCAAAACCCAGATCTTTGCTCGAATGTCGCCCGATGAAAAGAACGAGGTTGTCGAAAGGCTGCAGACCCTGGGTTATACCGTGCTAATGTGTGGAGACGGCGCGAATGATTGTGCAGCACTCAAGGCCGCAGACGTTGGTATTTCACTGTCTGAAGCGGAGGCGTCTGTTGCAGCCCCCTTCACCAGCAGGACACCCGATATCAGTTGTGTCATCGAGGTCATCAAGGAAGGAAGGGCCGCATTGGTCACCAGCTTTTCGTGTTTCAAATACATGTAATAGGGTTGTTTCTCTACTCCTGCGAACCTACTGACATATTGCAAGGGCGTTGTACTCTATGATCCAGTTCACGACGGTCACTCTGCTATACTCTTTCGCATCCTCCCTAGGAGATTTCCAGGTACTTTCCCGACAAACCAATTTTGCCCCCGCTGAACACGTTTCTTTAGTTCCTGTACATTGATCTCTTCATTATCATTCCCATCGCCGTTTCCAGTGAGTTCGGTGGATTTTATTTGAAGCAGTCCTAATTGGATTTAGTGGGACGGACTCTCCCGTATCCGCGAATATATCCCAAGCGCCCCACCGCTAGCCTGGTATCAAAGAAGGTCCTCGCCAGTCTGTTTGGGCAGATAATAATCACTAGCGGTGTTCAAATCTGGACGTTCTTCTGGGTCAAGCGTCAGGATTGGTAAGAAAGGTTTTTCATAGCACCGCCGAAGGCGACTGACCTGAGCTTGTCCGCAACAAGGTACCACACACCAGATGCAGATCCTTATGGCAATGGTGCTCATCTCAAGGCCACAAACTTTGAGAACTCGACATTGTTTTTAGTATCTTGTTTCCAGTATATTCTTGTTGCGGCCGTGTTTAGCATTGGCCCTCCTTACCGCAAGTCGATGTGGACAAACGGTCCGTACTTCGCCGTAACAATCACTGTGCAGTTCTAATTTGATGCTATTATGTAGGTTGGCTGATGGCATCAGTCACTGGTTTATCGCTCCTGAATTTGTTGGTGCTGTTACAACCTCCGAAGCCCCTTAGGTTGATTCTTGAATTGATGCCCCTCCCGATCTCTGGCAGAGCATGGCTAGGGGTATTTGCGCTCACCAATATTTTTGTTTCACTTGCTTTCGAGCAATGGGCCACCCAATTTATCTCACAGGTGATTGGCGTTTTGATGAACCTGCATCTGGAGAAGAAAAGATATCGCGAGGGAAAAGCGTACAAGGCTGTGGAGGGTGGAATGCAACGTTGAGTGTAAATACCTGTGCGGATATAGATATCATGATATTGCCTGTTGTCAATGAGAACGGGCGCTGCAGCTTATGATCCGGGACCGGAGAGTTTCCTATTTAGTCTGACTGATAGAAGGTGGCAATTGCAAGGACACCCTCCATTATCCTTGTCTTCAACGCCCTGGTGGCATCATCTCGTACTATTCATTTCACCTTCAACTCCCTTCTTGCTGGATTCGCTGAGGAACTAAGAGCAGGCCTCTTCACTCGTTTATATAAATCATCAATTTCTTTAACAATAATGTTCTCCAAGCTTGCATTCTGTTCCTACCTCGCGTTGTTTTCGCTAGGCTTTGCCAATGCACTTCCATCTGGTGAAACCGGCGCCATCGTTCGTCGCCAAGTAGCAACTTCCTCTGGCCTTGCCATACCCCCTGCAGTCACCACAACGATGTCCATCCAAACGTGAGCCAAAGCTAGTCTTCTTCCAGTGGTCGGGAGGCTAATTCTCACAGTGCAAATGGTCCGATGAATGAGGTCTGCGTCCTCACATTCACCCCCGTTGGCAATAAAATCCAGGAGGTCCAGAATTGCACCATGTCGACGGGCGCGAATGTTGTATCTAGCATGGTTTTCAATTCAGTCACTTCAGGCAGTGTTGCGTCTACTTCAACCGTGAGTCAACTGTCTCCTGCCAGCCATCTCATCAAGATTTACGGAATTCATTTCTAGAGCGCTTCTATGTCTGCAACCCCGATCGTTCAAGCTGCGTTCTCTATGCCTGGGAGGTCATTACAGGTGTTACCGGTGGGACTTGGGGTGTTTGGGAGTATCACGGGTATTACCATCATTATCGTAGCCTTGGTTACTTTTGAGCGTGTTCGTTATCGCAGGGTAAGTCCTCCCATACTATCTGCGACCGTTTACTGATCTGTTGTCACACAGGTCTTCAGGGAGCGTAGACTAGCCGAGCAGGGTGCTATGATGGGTTACACGGGCAACTCAAATGATATTAAAGTCTAGGGTAGTGCGATCCTACAAATCCGTCACCTTGGTCTTTTTGTTTCACCATGAATCGGCGGTCATTATTCAGCTACGTTTATCAAGCTGTCAACGCTCTCGCTGTGCGTTGAAGATAGTAGCATCAGCACTGTAGTCCCTGGTGGCATCTCAGGCTGGTTCACATGCACTTACTTCATACAGAAACTTGAAAGGGACTGTGCTGCAATGGGAAAATTACTACTATCATAACGGAGCCGGCGCCAGCCCCCGACTCGTTTATTCCTGGCATGTTTTATGTCCACCGAATTTGGGTTTGCAAGGCCCAGACTCATGTCAAAGCAAGACCAAACAGGTTTACGGGGAACTGAGAAAACAAATGTGTGGCTCTTTTTGAGTCCAGCTCATCGATCACTAGGAGTCCAACAACTGGCATAGGACAATCAGGTCACATAAAATCTGAAATCTCATCCAAGATTGATCGCCCAAGTAGATTGCCTTTCCCATTCCCTCCTTTGCCTTCGTTGCTGCAAGGAGATGCACCATCGCAATAACGAAACGTCCTGGGCACCTAAATAGATTGTAAGAAGATCATTCCTGAATCACCCTCACCTTCCAAGACCCCATATCGGATTGGCCGCAATAGTGTCTGGCAAGAGAGCTACATGACACATTAGTAGAGGAGCTTATTTGTACTCTCTTGATACAGCTAAAATGGCATGGGACGTCCGAGTCGTATCAAAGCTTTAAATTTGAAGGCCCCTGCCGAATAATATACGATACAGTCACGATGCTAACCTTGAAAAGGTTTCATAAGATATGTTCCTCCCAATACTAGTACGTACACTAGGAATAGATTGAGTCAGTACTTGAGTTATATCTCCTAAAGTATACACAGGCAGGTGTTGCACGCGTGCTGTGGGTCTGACCACCGAGCGGAGACGCGGTCCCAGATGGCTGCAATTTAAACTGAAGCGAGGAAGTACAGCATAGTCTGGGGGTCTTCTCATTGTGAATGCCGTGCCTAGGTGTCCAGACTTGGTATGCTCAGGGTTGTTCGAGGGAACCGAGTAAGATCAGAATGATAACAGGGTACCAGTTCCCGAGCAATAGAGGGACGTGGGAACGTAGATGACTAAGCAGAGGTACTGTACAGTTGCTTCGAGTCTTGAACTTTAATCTTTGGTTACCCCAAGGAACAGCTATCAGCCTCCTCACCTTCGTCATGGCCCCCAAGCTCGTCCGTCTGCTCTCCTATTTTGTGCTTGTTGTGCAGTTTTTGACCATCATATTAGGACCCCAACGAAATCAAGATCATCTACCTACGGGCAACAGGGGGTGAAGTTGGTGCATCTTCAGCACTTGCCCCGAAAATCGGTCCTCTCGGTCTGGTGTGTGTCTGGAGTTTGGTAGCAAATAATTCAGGAAGCTGAGGCATAAAACAGTCACCCAAAAAGGTTGGAGAAGATATCGCTAAAGCTACCTCTGCATGGAAGGGTCTACGTGTGACTGTCCAGCTTACCATCCAGAATCGGCAAGCAGCAGTCTCCGTCGTTCCTTCCGCTTCCTCCCTCGTCATCCGGGCACTAAAAGGTGCGCAGTTTTGCCTCTATTTCATCCCTGTCTAATATTGCTTATTCTAGAGCCTCCCCGTGACCGGAAGAAGGAGAAGAACATTAAGCACTCGGGCAATGTCACTCTTGACGAGATCTTTGAAATTGCCCGAACGATGAGGTCCAAGTCGCTAGCAAAGGACTTGGCTGGCGGTGCGAAGGAGATTCTCGGCACGGCCCAGAGTATTGGCTGCACAGTAGATGGCCAGCCCCCACACGATGTCATCGATGGGATCAACTCGGGGGATATCGAGGTGCCGGATGAATAAAAGATCAAACACAGGAACTAGTGTTTTGAGTATTTTTATATCACTCGCCATGGTTTTTTTTTTGACATTACTGCATACATTGATACATCCAAACACTCACATGTGCATTGCATCGGAGAATAGGGTTGCCTGGCCCGGGTTCGACAGGCGGCTATGGCCAGAGACAAAAAAGACAAATTTCAGATGCTAAGTGAGTCAAAGTTACGAATAATCGAGTATGGCTGTGACAATCGTGAGCATCGCATGCCGCAAGCACACTGAAAAACCAGGCTGCTCTCAGCTTGGTCGAACAGGATTCTGTAGAACAGTTAGAGCTATGTAATAGGCTGACTTTTAAACACGTGACTGACGCGTCGCGCTCGGGTTTTATCCATCGTCACCCGTACTGCTATTGTTCAACCCGTATACCTTCGGGCCTCAATCTGTCAATTTTCGCCAATTGTAAGCACCTATTAATCACATCCGACAACATCACGATTTGCCAACTCCCGTCAATTGTAACCGTCTTTCGGTTACATCCCACACTACCCTCGTAGCCTGCGATGACGACAACATATTCGCCGATCACGATTCAGACACAAAAGATATCAAGTCGTCTGGTGGCGAACAGCCTTTCCACGAGGTACGGAGCATCATACCTAAATTGACCATCGCCTAACATTTTAATTATTACTACAGGACAACTATTTCATGCCACCTACGAACGACCACCGCGTTGACGTCCGACCCCAATCCCAACAACTATCGACATCATTGGTCCCCTTTCCCGCAGAATCTAGTACCACTTCTCCTCGTCAATAAATTCCAGACAGCACTTACATATACTATTATTAACAGTTCTCCTGGCTCTGCCGGCCTTCGAGTCACGAACGCCTCACTTCAGACGAACTTGGCCAACTCCATCCGTAGTAGTCCGTCCCTTCCAAGATGACCCGACGAGAATAATACGACGCTATCACGACCATCTTCATGGCACGTATCACGATACTAACCATCAAGCAAGATCACCCAAGACAGCACACGAACGACGCTCACCATAGCCCACGATTTTCAAAACACTCAGGACAACACCCATGACACTCACGCCACCGCGATGCTATCAGGAAAGACCACTTCACGACACTCACCACTGATGTCATCAAAAACGCTCCCCGTCATCGTCAGGAAACACCGTCTTCCCCAGCGAGACGTATCTTGACTCACTTCGGAGAACCGAATGACCTCGTCGGGCAGACAGTTCGCCAAGCTTGGTTTATATCTATATTGTTTGTTTCCCTGACTTGCGCATTTTTGTATTTAATGATCCGTCTCGATGATGAGTTCTTTGCTTGCTCGCACATCCTTGGATTGAAAGTTATGACAATCCAAAGTTCATATTCAGGAGGTAGTACACGAAAACATCCTTGATGCTCGCTCGGCCTCGCTGAGTCGGGAAGGACAATATATAGCTACAGAGATTTTGATTCGTTGATCTATCTACCATTTGAACTTTCGTCGTGGTGTCAATATTGCTCTGCCATAGCAAGAAAACATATATGTATTATTATTTTAATGTATTTGTACGGGCGCGCATTGAGAGTACGAGCGGGAAATTATCATGAAGTGATGACGTAGTGCAAATATAAGAGGTGAACAGCCTAAGTTCACATATTTTCCATTAATCGACTGGACAAATACTGCGCATCAACCGAGTGCAGTAGTTTAATAAACCGTTTCCAAGTTTTCTCTGTAGGAGGGGCCGTACTGTCAATCTCGTTCATGACATGCGGATCCTGATACCTGCGCCCATACTTGCCGTAATGGCCGACAAGAGTGAGAATAGTCCGACACTCCTCTCCCCATTCGGGAGTGAGGTTCAAAACACGCCAAACATGTCGCTACGTAACAGAATGAATTAAGACCACACTAGATCACTGGACTGAAGACTCACACTCTCAACCCTGGAGTTCGGTGCGCCATCCCAGTGTGATGGTGTTTTCCTATCTTCGTGTTCCTTAACTCTGTTTTCGACGTAATTCAAGGACCACAGGATGTCAGAAACGCGCTTTGGGCCTCCATGAGAGATGATCGACATGCATCGAGGCCATTCCTTGTCGCCCTCTATGTCCGATCGAATGAAATTGGCAATCGCATCGTCCCTCTCATCCACTGTCTCAGCATGGCGCCCAGGAATTGGGGGCGATATTTCTCGTACACCGTCTCCGTCAGATGAAGAGCTTTCTTGGTCTCCATGCCTCGACTGTCTCGCTCGATGTGGCATGCAACCAGGAGAAGGAGTCTTCTGGACTGAACTTCGTGGTGCTTTATTTTGAGGTAATGAATGGCTTTGAGAGGGCCGTTTTCTCTTTTTGGGGCAGTAATCACTTTGTGACAACAAATCGATGCGCGTATCACGTGTGACGCCTGAATACATTGCCTGTCTCGACATCTGCTGTCGAGGAGGTGACACGGCATTATCGGAGTCAGAGCTAGACATCTGTGGCAGTTCAAGAGGAAGCCGGGGAGGTGGAGGTAATTGACCTTTTGGGACAGGCTAGGAAATGAAATCAGCGCATCTATTTGGCAGATCAGTGCGTCAAACTGTACGTACAGCTTCGACGACGACTTCAAGTGCGCGATCTTTGCTCACACCGAGATTGCACGATTCTGCTTCGAGGACGTTATCAGCATCCACACGCATGAAGAACTGGCGATATTTTCCACGAAGGGTGTACACCCTCGCAGGACCTGAGAAACAAAATTACAACTACGAATTACTAGTCAAGGGTAACATACCATCTATCCGTGACGGTCCAGCTTGCAAAGTTTCACAGACCTCTTTTGCGTTTGCCCAGAAACCACCGTCTGGGTCTTCCCCTGGCCGAAGAACCACTTTGATCTCTGCAAGCTGATGATCTGGGACTCCACTCCTGACATCCTCGATGAGGAGCGTCAACATCCGAAGAGGCCGCACTGGTCCTCCAGAGGGTGGAGGTGCTACAGATCGTTCTTGTGCAGCTGCGGAAACGTTAGATCGGGGAGCATTGCGAAGGATACCAGCTTACAAAAAGTCGGTCGCGCAGTTTCTTGAGGAGATGCTGCACTTGTGGAGGGTGAGCGTGAATCTAGGTTTGCTTCATAATCGCGACGATAATGTGTTCCTGGGCGTGGGTAATGCATATTGGAAGGAGGCGGTTGAAGTTGGCGGCTAGAGGCTGATGACTGAGCTAAAGAACCAGGGCCCTGAGCAGTGCGTTGCCCAGTTGATTTCTTATTCTGTTTATTCTTGGCAGGAGTGATAGGTCCGCCAATTTGGCCCGGGGCGCGACTACGACTTGAACCTATGTTATCGTATGCCCCCGGTACTGCATGATACGGACTGCGTGGACCGGACGCTATTGTGGAAGACACAGCCGAGGAATGAGCTTCCCCAGGCAACGCACCATCGGCAACTGAAGGGGTAGACATGGTGATACTAGCGCTAGGCGATGCAGCATTGCTGATACGATACATCGAGGAATACGGACCTCCACCAGTATATAGTGTGGGCTGTGTTAAGGGTTCTGGTGTATGTGCTGGTGTGGGCTCGGGTACCTGAGAGAGTCTAAACCGGCTCGTCTGAGCGGAGTACTCCGGCTTGGCTCTCCTTTTCTTTTTCTTAGGTAGCGCCTGTCCTGGGAGAAATTGTATTGCATTTGGATTTGAGGGGAGGACAGCTTGGTAGGTGTTGACAGTTGCAATGGGGAGCACAGACGGCTGCCATGAGAATCCAACTGCCTGGCGAATCAATGGCGCTGGGGTGCCATCTCTGGAAGATGCATCCGCATTACTTTCGACTTGTGCAGGGACCACGAGGGCCCCATCGTCAGAATTTGGTGTGAAAGACCGTTTCTGTCGTTTCTGTCAGGTTGTATGGGACATGTGAGACAACTGCATGGCCATGACGAGTGAAAGAAAGAAAAAACACGTGTAAGGAAGAGAATTATATACTTACAGCAGCAGGGGAAGACTCTCTGCTGCTCCTAATAGCCTCATGTGATTGGTAAGTGTGCAATTGATATTGACCAGAAGAGACTCGAGCACTCACGATAATGACGCACTGCGTCTACCGTATCCTATTTGTGCATCGTTTTCGCTGCCCATTCGCTGTATGAGTAATTTTACTGGTGAAAGGAAATGGTTCCAGGTAGAGAGACTGCCAACTGGTGCGACGAGGTAACTACCTCGCCGTTTAGCTGCTGTGGGTTACTGTGGGTCCCAGATGAAGATAAGCAAATTTAGTTGTGAAATGGTTCATACAATTGTGATCTAGTGTATACCCTTCTTAGCAGGAAGTGAGCGAAACTGGATCACGCCAAATAGAATGGACCTACAAAACGAAATCGCAGGACAGGTTGAAGCAACAAGAAAGGAAACTCGGTACCAGTAACGTGTCCCAAACATGGAATCACCCCTGATTATTACTTGGATGTGATACTACTAGCCACCCTCACGCACCAACTTACGTGAAGACTGCTTATCCCCGTGTTATTAGCTCTGTCAGTGTCCGAGGTAAACACGTTGTTTGTTGGTCAATGTATGTACTTTACATGATTCATATCATAAATTCCAGTGCACCAAAGCATACACGATATCGATATCGTTCGATTACGAAAACTAGTCAAGAAAATGGGGAATTTTTGTACAGAGCTGGCAGCCTCAAGGGCATTATGGACCTCCGTAGATCCTCTTTGCATTTAAACTAAAGATTGCATCGATTGCGTCCTGGTCCACCGCGAGCTCTGCAAATGACTCGCGTACAAGTGCATACCAGTCCGCGGGGTTCAGGAGCGAGGGTGCAGCAAAGGAAGGCGAGGTTCCAAAAATAATACGCTCGTAGCCATACGCTTCTAGCACTGGACCAACTGCCGGATGTTCGTCACATTGTACCAATATATGAGAATATATGCGCAAAAACTTACTGAACATCTTGATTTTTCGTTTCCATTCACGATGTTGATCCATTTCTGAAGTTGGATCTGCGGGACCTGGTATGGTTTGATTCCACATGGGAGGCGTAAACTTTACATAGAGATTCGGAAACAATGACAAGGATGCAGTGTGTGCTTGGTAATTGCGATAACTTGGATCAGCAAGGAGCTTGACGATCGGCAGGCTTAGGTCATGGGGTGGCGGTAATATATTGGCTGGAATTGGGTCAGTTCCAAACACTCACCTTAAGGGTTAAAATAATGCTCACAAAGAACTATGGAGACCTTCCTGTCTCCGGGAAGTTCGGCGGTGGCTTTCATGAGAAGGTCTTCGAACGCTTCATACTTTGCGACATTCGACATGATGTCACTTTGAACGTCAATATCAACGAGACGGCTGTTTGAGAATGCCCATCTCAAAGTCTCGATAGCCTGAGATCTAGCTTCTGGTGCCTCATGCGAAGCTGCGTATGAGGTGTAGAAAGACTGGGGAATTCCAGATGACTCTGAGTGATCTGGATAATCCGATGGGATGGCGCTAAGCTCGAAGGGAGTTGCCACCGAAAGTATGCGAACATTTTGCGTGAGGGAAGATTGCAACAGTCTTTCGTAACCAAGATAAGAAAATGCACAGTTTTGTCAAAGTCAAAAGCTTACCCTTCTGGCATCGAAGGATCGTTTAACAATAAAACAGCACCCGCGACCTCAGTGCCAGCCAGATCAAGACCAGCCCTTTCGAGTGCATCAGACCGCAGATGAGCGTCAATGACTTCGCCTGGAAAGAGCGCACTTGGAGTTGGAGGCAAAGGGAACATGTCAGAAGTCCCTGTGCTCGGTGGGCTGAACGCAGACAGAGGTAAACTCGGAAGGTTCTTCGGCCTGCGACGACCACTTGCCAGACCAGGCGATGGAAGGGGTTGCGCGAAGCTCATGATGAGGAAGAAAATTGAATGAAACGGGTCCTGTATATGTAGGTGCACTGGTGCAGGGGGCACTGTCCAGTGTCTGTAAGAGTTCAAGTTGATGTATCTGATTGCAACGATCAAAGCATGATTGATTTGAACCGTTGATTGATAATATATGCATAATAATGAGTATAATCAGTACTGCAGATCGTAGTCTATTCCCACGCACGAATGCTTGTTCCAGACCACCGGCAAGTCCCCGTAAACAAACTACAAGCTATGTGGTACACTATTGTCATACAATTCATCAAAACGCTTGGAATCTACCGGATGAATCATAGTAACCCTTGAGCGGATTCAAAGTATTCTAATAGCCAAGATTTCCTGCGCGGCGCTCGTGTCTGGACAAAATATGACCATCACTGGCAGTCACGGCGTAAAGGATAACTGAAGGTGCGTTATCTTTGTCATAAAAAAGTCCAGCGTAAGATGCGATACGCAACGGGTATGTTTTGTTATATCTTCATCGGGTCATATCCAGTGTCATGGTACAGTGGACGTTTCAGCCATATTGGACCGAGTTAGGCTCGTGATGTTCGGAGGACTGCGACTGCATGCGTTCGTTTCATATTTGCGCCTTTTTGTGCCTTGCAGAAATACTTGGCTTAATCGCAAAGTATTGATGTGACGGGTCAGAACTCACTGTATAACCATTTTCATCGACTTCTGCAGTAAAAAAAATTGTCAAAAAGCGCAAGCTGACGTTCTTCGTGCAGACCTTATTCTAGGCCATTTTCGAATCCCTCTTTCCGACCCATTATGCGACCCTGCTTGAATCCCGACTCTCGGCCTTCGCGGATGCCATATTGTCTACCTTCTTCGAACCCGTCCTCCCTGCCGTCGTCATAACCCTCCGCATACCCAGCATCCCAACCCTCGTTATGCCCGGTTACGAACCACTTTTTCCGACCATATATCGGACTTTCTTCTATTACTTTCTCCTTTGCTTGCTGCCTGCTAAGTTCAGTTTGAAACTTTCTTGCAGTATCCCGCGCTCGTGATGCGCTTTCATCGGCTTCATTTCTTTGCCTCTCTAAGACGCGGATGTCAGCCTGAAGTTTTGTGACCTGTTTTTCGAGGCTTTCGATGCGCATTTGATGTCGCCGCATCTCTTCGCTGGCCCGCTCAACATCGAGTTCTGCATAACGCCTGCCTGTTTCAGCGGCATTGACGCGCACAGCCAGCTCCCGCGCTCGGAGTTCTGCGAATTCTGCTTGAGATTCAGCCTGCTTTGCCCTGCGCATTTCCTGATCGAGCCTGTCCCCCGTCGACCGAAGGGTCGATCTAAGGTGCTGTGCTTGCTTTTCTTCTTCTGCCACCACCAGGTTCATCAATGTAGACGCAGAGTAGAAGGGTTCATGGTGTTGTGAGCTAGATGACTGTCTATGACTCTTCTTCCCATCAACGTTGTGGAGCGTGTTGATAACAGCAGGGTCTTTTAATAATTCTTTGAGGGGTGTAGAGATCATTGTTGCTGCACGTATCTGTGCCATGACGTCAATTCTGTTATAGTCTGGTGTTTTTCCTTTGCTGGGTAGCGGGGGAGAGGTGGGCAAGTTGACATCGCTGTCAAGGCCAGAGGTGAGATGCTCGTGAAAGCGAGACGGGGACATCGGTTTGTTGGCGCAATAAGAAATCGGTACAGCTTATAAGGAATATAGTTGTTTCTGGAATCTGTAACGATACTGCGTTCATCCGTGCGCAGTTGCGGTGCCCAGGGTGGAATACGACCCCACCCGTGGTGTGCACGTGTTGATTGACATGCTAGTTTGGTTATGTGCATAGCAACACAAGCGTTCTAAGCGCTGTATTACTTCCCTCGTATATGCGGGCAAAGTCCATGATGTAGGCGATTAACTGCGCGCGCGTAAGTGTACGGCTTTTTGACTGCATACCTCCTCGAGGCCATTATGATACAGCATCGTGGTGTTTACGTCAATTCAGAAAAAGGAAGTAAGTTCCCATAGATCTGACATCGATCTCCTTGTGAACTCCGAAGCACTTTAAATTTGTAATAACTTACAGTAATTCGTTTGCATCTACCTCTTGCTCAAGTATTTCTTGGATAAACTCGCAGAATGTCTCTCAAAGCTGTAAGTCCGAGTGTTTTATTTATTTTTCTGTCCTTGACTTACTGCGTGTAGATTGTAAAATGTGTGTGCACAGACATGTTTCATTCTGCGCATTCTGTTAATCCTAGGGCATGAAACCTAGCCGTCATCTCCGGCGACACCCTCGTTTTGCGTGGACGTACAGGACCACAAGGACAGAGTCCTAAGGAGAGGTATGCAAATCAAAGAAGTCCAATGGGAAAGCGACACGGTCTGACCCGCTACACTCCGCAGAATCCTACATCTTGCTGATGTCGTGGCTCCAAGAATGGGAAACCTGACTCGAGAGGACGAGGTGAGATACAATTGCTGCGTTTATCGTCAGCACTGATAGAAGTTGTTTCCAGCCATGGGCATTTGAGTCTCGTGATTTTCTTCGTGCATTGGCGGTAGGCAAAGAGATTTCATTTACTTCCACACATAGTTTTCCTTCCAATGAGGATGTCACGCGTGACATTGGCACTGCTGAGATCGGGGGTGTGGATGTTGCATCTGAGATGCTAAAGAACGGTTGGGCCAAAGTCAAGGAATCGAAACGGGACCCCACAGAGGACGATATACAAAAACGTGACATCGAAGCTGAAGGGAAGGCGGCTGGAAAAGGTCTATGGAATTCTCATGGTCCCCAGGTGCGTATTCTTAACTGCCTTACAATTGCCCTCGCTTCTGTCATTTTCGCAGGCCCGCGTGGTACACCAAACAATGCCAACGGATTCGCAAGCGTTTGTTTCGGAGTGGAAGGGGAAGGCCATTGACGGTATGACGTCTTCTCATGACTGTATTACTTGGTTTAATTCATATTTTTAGCACTGGTGGAACAAGTGCGGGACGGCTCTACTCTCCGGGTCCGACTTTTCATGCCGGATGGCGAGCATCAAATAGTCAACATTGCGCTCGCTGGTGTTCGTTGTGCCAGGACATCCCCAAGGCAAGGAGAACCTTCAGAGCCTTGGGCAGAAGAAGTAAGTCAATCCGCATGTCAAAATAACTTGTTTGGATTATGATCTGTAGGCGAAATTCTTCACGGAGTCCAGGCTGCTCCAGCGATCTGTACGGGTAATTATATTGTCATTGCCAACTTCGACAGCAACACCATTCCAAGCCGGAGCTAATAGTGCACCACCTCCGCCGGCATCGATATTTATTGGTACTGGTACGTCGTTTTCTGTGTCTGAGAGTATATTTAGCAATATCTGCTGCAGTCCTCCATCCCGCTGGCAATGTGGCTGAACACCTTGTCGCTGCTGGGCTCGCTCGTGTTGTCGATTGGCACGCCGGCATGCTGGCCGCAGGGGGAGGTATGGAGCGCCTTCGTGCGAGTGAGAAAGTTGCAAAAGAAAAGCGAGCATGTCTGTATGCCAATGTGCCAACCGCGTCTGCATCGATTACCCAGTCAAATGGTACTACTAATGGAAATGCTCGCATCTTTGACGGAACTGTCATTCGAGTATGGAGTGGCGATCAAATATCTGTCATTGATAAGGAGAGCGGGAAGGAGCGTCGGTTGCAGCTCAGCTCAACAAAAGGACCAAAGTAAGCAGTATGTCTTAATCGTCGACGTCTTCTGATAGTTGTCAGACTCTCCGACCCTAAGCAGGCTTACTATGCACAAGAAGCTCGTGAATTCCTTCGGAAGAGACTTATTGGCAAGCACGTCAAAGTTACGGTTGACTTCATTCGTCCTCGTGACGGCGAATATGAAGAGCGCGAATGCGCAACAGTCCGTTACGGAAACCAAATCTCGTAAGCAAGATACATATTAGTGTTTTGTATTCACCCACATTTCCAATTCAGCAACGTGGCAGAGCAGTTAGTAGAAAAAGGCCTTGCCTCCGTTGTCCGCCATCGACGTGATGATGAGGACCGTTCCTCTGACTATGACAAATTGATGGCTGCAGAACAAGTGTAAGACAACGACACCCTCATTTGTGTTAGATATTACTAACTCTTGAATTCAGCGCTGTTGCTGAGACCCGTGGTATCCACTCTGGCAAAGAACAGCCAGCTGTAAAGCCCCCCGTTAATATTTCAGAGGTATGTATATCTTTTAGTATCCGCTCCTCGGAGGTTCAGACTTGTTTTCTAGTCTGGCGCACGTGCCACCACTTTCGTTAATGGCTTCAAGAGGCAAGGGAAGATATCCGCTGTCGTCGATTATGTTGCCTCTGGGTCTCGGTTTAAGTATGGTTTAGCACTATGTTCTGACGAATAGTTCTGAAATGTTTTTTTCCCAAGGCTCTTCCTCCCAAGAGATAACCAGTCGCTCACCTTGGTCCTGAATGGTAAGACCGACAAAAATCAGTTTACAGACTATGCCTCATTATTTCCCAGGCATTCGAGCACCCCGAACAGCACGTAATCCTTCCGAGAGGAGTGAGCCATTTGGTCAGGAGGCTGCAGACTTCGCAACTCGCCGATACATGCAACGCGATGTAGAATTTGAAGTGGACACCGTCGACAAATCTGGCGGTTTCATCGGAACGTTGTGGCTGAAGAGTGAAAACGTCGCAATTTCTCTAGTTAAGGAGGGCCTTGCGTCCGTACACTCCTTCTCTGCCGACGGCTTGTCCTGGTCCACACAGTTGTACGCAGCCGAAGTGAGCGCTGCTTGGATCCTTGAGTATTAAACTTTTTGATGTCATCATTTTAGGCAGAAGCCAAGCAAGCACAAAAAAACGTAAGCCACATTGATGCACTTCCTTTCGATGTTTGATCATCTCCCAAGTTGTGGGAGAGCTATGATGAGGAGGCAGAGAAGGCTGCTCAGGCTCCGCCTGTCGAAGACGATCCTGGACGTTTAAAGTCGGAATATCTGGATGTTATTATCAGTGATGTCCGGGCAGAAAACGGCTTCAGTTTCTCAGTGCAAATATTAAACACTGAGGGTAAGCTTTTCACAGAATTGCCCGAATAGCTATTTCTCACGGTATACGTCAGGGATCGCGACCTTAGAAAAGCTGATGCGCGATTTTTCTCTACATCATCGTGTCGCACATCCAGCACCATCAAATTTTACGCCGAAGGCAGGAGATTTAGTGTCTGCTAAGTTTTCGGACTGGGTCGTGGTACCGTGCCAGGATTCGCCGTACATCCTCAGTCAAGAAGGAGGTTGAAGTAACATTTATTGATTATGGAAACCAAGACACTGTCTCGTTTTCAAATATCCGTCCTCTCGATCCCAAATTCCGCTCCCTGCCTGGTCAAGCGCAAGATGCCCGCCTAAGGTAATGGTACAGTTTGCATTTTTGTGGTTTATAACACTTATGGTGTTGTGCATAGCTTTGTCAGGCTCGTAGCGTCCGAAAGCGAGTATCACGCAGATGCTGTTCAGCGCTTCCGTCAATTGTGCGAGGGTCGCAAACTTGTCGCTAACATCGACTACAAGGAAGGCGCTACGCTTCATCTGCGTCTCATTGATCCCAATGACCCCGTCGCTACGCAAGATCCTTTAGCTTGCATTAACGCTGACCTACTCCGTGAGGGTCTGGCATCAATTGACCGCAAGGGATGCAAATATATTGGCGCATACCCACACATCATGAGTAAACTGCAAACTGCAGTTGCTGAAGCGAAGCGCGATCGTGCTGGGATGTTTGAGTTCGGTGATGTTGAGGAGGACGAGTAATCACTGTGGTGACCACGATTTATGTAATTTCGGGGAAGACTTAGTCAGCTAGTAATAATGCACGACTATCATCTCATTTTCATCATGTTCACGCTTGCAAGACGCGACTGCAGGAATGGAACCTACGAGCCAACTCGGTGCCAGTACTTCACTTCCTCAACTAAACAAAGGCCCGCAAATTCTCTCAGGCTCGGGCAGTTTCCAGAGCTACTTATCTTCTGCTGGTTCACATCACCGTCACGCTAAAGGGGCAAGTGTCCATCTTGAGAACCAATCGTCGGTTCATACCGACAAGAGCCAATCACCCTACCTTCAAAGCGTAGTAGAAGCTTCTTCTCATCCAGGACCGTTGTCTGGTGTTGTGCGATTCATAACCAACTTCCCTGGGTTCCTGCTCGAGGACCTACACCGCTTCCGCTATGGACACCTAGGAAGGCTGCGGATTTTGTTGTCCCTGTACTGCTGCGTGAGCGTTACCTTCCTCTCTTTCAAAATGCATAGCGCCTTGCAAGGTGCTGTTGCAGCTGGCCGCCCACACATGGGTCATAGCCCAAGTACGTTGCTAAGGATATTGGAATACTCGTTTTCTAAGATGCAGACGTGCCAGACTCGGACACATTGTACCATGTTTCCCCTCTCTCAAATGTATCGGTTCAGCAGCGAATGTCCATCGCGTTTCCCAATACGTCCCCTGGTCATCTGGAGACCTTCATCCTGGCTACTCATTCGTCAGTTGACAGTGACCTCACCGCTTGCCTGTGGACTGAAGAGGACAAGCTGCACGACACCATCAGCTCACTCACAGCCTGGTCGGGTGATTTGGACTCAGTCTTTTGTGATGGAGCGCCATCGTTTACGGTTTTATAGGTCCTATGTCTCTGGTCGTCGTGACGTCGGCTCCAACGGACCATCTAACCGTGCTGAAAAGGTTTCCAGAGCTTATGAGCCTCCCTGATATGCACGCCTCATTCGGTCTGTCGTTGCATGTACTCCAAGTTTCATCTTCTTTTGGAGGATCTGCCAATGCCTATTTAAACGTTGCTCGTCTCTTGGCGCCTACTGATCGAGTTGTCCTGTTCCCGGATGGTTTGCCTTTGCACCTCTCGAGTAATTTGTATAGCTCCATCATTCGGTCGACGTCTCCGCAGCCTCTCGTACTAGGCAACAATAGCCGTAGGACATATCCATTCGCCCCGATGTCCCCTGTTGTTCTTCCTAAGGACTATCCTACATGGTGTACCGAGCGTTTTTCTCTTTTCCAATCTCGATCACTCGACTGGGAAGACTGTCTCTGGCAACTGTGGCTTGAAAGTGCTGGTGAGGTCAAGTCTACGGCGGTGGACAGCCGGCCAGTGGTGGAAACCGGCAGATCCAACAACTCCTCATCCGTACGTTGCACGACTTAGACACCTGGCTCCCTCGTTTGGGTCTTACGAATTACGATTACTTCAGGCAAAGTTAAGACGACGTTGGACTGTCAAATATCGCGCAGAAGCCTGTGCTCTAGCTATGAAACGAGCGCAGATATTAGAAGCAACCAGTTATGCAGATAAGAAGGCGTTCCAATGGCGCAAGAAATTTTGTCATGAGGTGAGGTCTTGATTTCCTCGAACCGTGGTCTGGAATCAGTTGCTGAAAAGTTCAAGTCTCTGGGTACTTCCCCGGCAAACGCTGCTGCCTGATCAACGGACTTGAAGGCTGTTTCAGGTTTATGTTTTAATTGAAGATGCATTAGTATGGGAATGTTAGACAGACATCAAAATTTATGTCATCCAATCACTGTAACACGCAAAAAGATACCTGTGCAAGGGCCATTCGGGGGGAGCTGCAAATCGAGCGGTGCATATTCGTCCGGAAGTGATCCTCAGTCTCGATATCTGATCTGCCTCGTTGCACTCTTATTCAAAGTTGATCAAAGTACTTATTACCAAAGTTCATTTCTACACTTGTGTGGCCAGTTGGTCTTATAAGTAACATTAATGCACACCCACTGTCCCACCACAAAAACGCGTGACTTACATAAAAGTTTTGGTTAATGTAGACAAACAGTAACCGTGTTCGAGTAGAACCAAGGTGGCCAGGATACCTCCTTAGCTGAGATGAACCCTGCATCATTCGACACAACACAAAGCTAAAGGCATGGCCATAAACACCACTGCCCCAACAAATCAACAGATGCGCAGGTAGACGTATATTGCAGGAAGATGACACAGCCTCTCACACTGATACACTAGATCATGTTGGCAGCAAGCCGTCGAGCTTCCACCTCTTCATCATCTTCCATTTCTTCATCTGGCCCCTCTTGGTACGTGGCCCATATAGCATCCATCTGTGGCGCGTCCATCAACAACTCCAAAAGATCCTTTGCAAGCCCTGTGTCACTATTAGCTAGAAGCATGAACAATATGTAATTCGCAACATACCGGCAACTCTTTCCAGGTCCTGTTTGTCCTCCTCTTGCACCCACTCTGGTACATCAGCAAAACTGAGACGTCCCATGGTAACAACAAAAAGATGTACAAGACCGTTGTAGTGCCGTGGTGCGCGCTCTAGACGCTCTCGCAATCTAAGGGGAGTTTCGGCTTTAAACATCAAATGGTGCAAGAGAAAGGTCGTTTGGTTCATCCGTCGAATCACTCTGAATAAACAATATAAATGTGGCCAATTTAAGGCAGAAAATTCGTTACCTTGAAGCAGCCTGGGGGTCAGACTCCATTGCCTCGTCGCCTTGCCACACAGGTGCTGACAGCCCGTATAAATAAACAATGATCGAAGGTATCACGGATTGCGACTCGATGATAATCGTGTGAGCAGTTGGATGAGCCTCGGAGAGCATAGCAAAAAATGTCAGGATGTGTCGCTTGATCCCATCGGCCTGTCATAGTGTAAGTAGGGTCAGATAAGGATTATGCTACCGTTTGTACCTCGTTGCTCGTTCTACTGGAATCGATCAAGAGAGAGCACATTCGCTCGACATGAGGAAGCCGAGTATAGTCTTGTGATTGCCCCTCGGTGTCAGGAAATGATAAAAGGGGTTGGAAAAGGACAGGTCCTAAACATGATTTGAAAAAGACGGAGGATTATGGTAGGAAGGTCATGCTCACGAGTTGAGAACTGAGAAAGCATGCGTGTACTTTGAAAAAGAAACCAAACCGGGCGAGAGGAATCCAAGAGTATCGATAGTACAGAAGGGCAACGAGGTACGAATGCTAGCCTATAGCGTTCGTCAGCCATGATTGACTATGGAATGCGACATCTTCACATATTTTCCAAGTCACTCGGAGTATTCCAACACAAGGCTTCCAGTAGTGCGAGTGACTCCTTGGCAAGTAGACCTAGTTCCGATTTCTCGGTATCGTGAATTACTAGTTTACTGATGTGGTCCTGAATAACAGAACATATCACGGCAAGAATGCGAGGAACCCTGTCTTCTGCAGAATCCGTGGCTTTATACACCAAGAGATATCGATGAGGTGCTGGAAGAGTGTACGTGATTTGAGTCAGCTGGCTAAAAAGGGCAGCTAAAGACGTTATCTGCAGGAGACATCCATGATTCATGAATAGATCATAATACATATGAAACACATACATGATTAGAGACGGCTAGTATATCTGCCATTTCTATTAGAGCGCCACAAATCGCTTGGGCTGCGAGTTCCCAAGCTTGATGTTCCTGAGTGGGTACATTGGCGAGAACGTCCAGTATACGAGAACATGCGGAAGTATATGCATCCGATGTGGGTCCGATTGACAGTGAAACTCCCAACAAGGCATGAAATGTAGTCATCCTGCAAGTCGGTTCCATGTGCATTAGGACAAGCCGATGCAACTATTCCGGTTGTTACAGAAAGCCGGGGCACAATGGGTGGCACAAACTTACATCCAAAATCCACCTGTGAGGATCCACCTCTTCGGATTCCTCGTCCACAGTGACATGAATCTGTTGATCCTGAGCTCCGTCGGTCATCTCAACGTCATCCTGCGAATAGAAGTTTGTATCCACATTAGAATCGGTCATGAAGACGTCCTCTTGCGCCGCCGCGCCAGAACCATCATCCCGAGCCGCCTGGAACAAATTCGTCTGCGTGCTTTCAAAATGAAACGACGCTGGCGGAGGACCACTGTCGAATTGCACTTGCGACGGACCCTTTTGGTTTGAGTCAGTTGCCTTGCCTTTGCCTTTGCTGAGATCTGTCACCCGCGACTTTGTAGGGGTTGTAGAGAGTTGGAATCCAGATGGTAGATTTCGGGTTTCAACCGCTGGTTTCCTCGTACGCTCATTATTTACAATTTCGCCAAAGCGAGGTCGGGTAGGGCTCTCCTGTATGATTCTCGAAGGGCCTGCCACAGCTCCACTTTCATCCCACCTTTGCATCTGCAAAGACAAAGGTACAGGAGTCGCAAGAGGTGCCATTGGGGCTTTCTTGGAGCGCGCAGACCATGGAGACTTTCGGGTAGATGTCTCTATTTCATGTTGCTATCAAATACAGCCTTAGCTTGTAGGGGAGCAGATAAAACTCATCCATACCTTGAAAGTAAATAATGTCTTCAGGCGTTCTGCCTCCTCTTTCATTTCTTTTTGCATCTGCGTTTGTTTGGCCTCCGACTCCTCCTTGGCTGCCCTAAGCTTCGCTGTTTGCGCTGCATGGTCTTGAGCTATCTAATCAGGCTTTCAGTAGTCCTCAGGCGACTGATTGATGGTGAGTTACCTTCTCGATATTTTTCCTTAGTATGACAACTTCCCCTTCTTTGGCGAGTTTAGCAGAAAGCGTGTGTCGCAACTCTTCCTGCAGCCTCACTTTCTCTTTGTGAAGCTAGGCATGTATTATTGTTACCACATCCATTACTCATTTAGAATGCAAGGCATCAAACCTCGTTCTTTTGCTTTCGCAAGCAAGCCAGATGCCTTTCCAATGCTATAAGAGATGGGTTCACATTAGATGTAGCTTGAGGGGCCGATATGATAGACTGTTGCGGCAGTTCAACTTTGTACGTGTCATCACCGCACAGCGTGATGTCCGGTAAATCTTCGGTATCATCAGGAGAGCGACTGAAAGCACTGAAATCCTGCCGAGGACCTGTGTCCAGTTTTTGCCGCTTCGCTGGAGGTGGCAGGTCCTCTAAGTCGGGCTCGTCAACACGTCTGGACTCCTCAAACCTGGACTCCTCCTTGTCAAGGATGGCCAGCGTTTGATCATCCAGGACGAAGTCATCGGGGAAGTCTTCATCGGAGTCGAACATGAATAACGAACTCTGGACCTTGTCCTCGTCCTCATCGAGTGGACGCGTCGTGTGAGAAAGAGTTGCCATTTCAAGTGGCACATCACCAAACAGACGCGACGCGTTTGGTGACGCGCTCTTGACTCTCACTTGCAGCAAATAACTGCACGGTGCACCACAGACCCCATTGATTATCTTATTTGACTGCCACCTGTCGTAATACAGACATGTCTTGGAAAGCAAGCTTTCAGCAGGGTGTTTCTAACTTCAGGAGAAATAAACATTCTGAAGCCCTTGTGCTCTTCGATGAAGTATGTCTGTCAATCGCATCCTCTGTCCAGTTGGCCATACTAATCCAGAGTGAAGGCCATTTTACTTGGCTGTGATTCCTTCATTGTTTATGACTCTCGTGCCGCCGTGCATGAAAAGCTCGGGAACAATAAAGCTGCTCTCCTTGACGCGAAGAAAGTTGTGGATACTGCTCCAGATCGTTGGCAAGGCTATGCTCGCTCAGCACGTCTATTTCATGCGCTTAACAAGGACGAGGCGGCCATCAAGATGATTGACCTTGCTCTCGAGCGTATCAAATCAGACGATACACAGCGCCATCAGGAACTCAATGCACTGAAGTCACAAGCAACCAATGCCTTGAAGGCTGCTGACGAAAGAAGGCGAGCGCGCATTGCAAAGACAGCATATCACATCGGCAAGTTACCTGTGGAAATCTTTGCAGAGATCCTTGGCCTCGTGGTTGCTACAGACCATGCACAGATTCTCAAGCTGTCACATGTCTGCAAACATTGGCGCGGCATAGCTATTAAGACTCCTTCACTTTGGCAGACGCTGGTGGTTTCGAAGAACCGTCCCACTAGAAAGGTACGATTATGGATGGAACGAGCTCAGACACGCATATCGGATCTCTCTTTTCACCATAACATATCGGAGATGGACTGGCCATCCATCCTCTCAGAACTCTCGTCATTGTCTTGGTGTGGTCTTCGTTCTCTCGCAGCACCTGGAAGCTTGTTCTCCCGACTCTACGATCTGCTCCACCAATTATCCAAGACAGAAGTCATTTCGCGTCTCGAACATCTGGATGTCACAGGGTGTCCGGGTTTTGAGAGATTCTTGCCAGACTTCGAAGCCTCTCACCTAGATACCCTGAAAGTTGCCAACTTTACCCCTTCAATGGGCGGGCTGTGGAGTCGGGTGCGTCAGCTCAGAACCATGACTGTCGAGGCAGGATGGATAGAGATACTCCCGGCCCTGACGGCCAATCAGTCACTGGAGAATCTTGTGCTCTCTAATTTGGTCTCAATCCCAATGGAGTCAGGTGGCGATGACTGCGTAGAACTTTCCGACCTCCAATGCTTAAAACTCTT